GTATTACGCCTGGATTTTTTGCAAATCCTGGCGTACAAGAGACGTATTCTTAAAAATACGGTTCATTTTCAGGCGTACACGTATTTTTGCCAGAAATACGTCTCCTTTTTTCCAGGCGTAAATTCTAAATCCGGGCGTATTTTCTACTTAGTCTCTTTGGCACATGGAAATTAAAACTTAGAAAATTTCAAAAGGCGTATTTTTTAAAATTCGGGTGGATTTTTCAACTTAGCCAAAAAAACTTAGTCAACTCATTCTCTTTTTTTTAAAGTATTGAGTTGCATAAGAAACATTTTTATTATATTATATAACTTAAACCAAAAAAAAACCCAAAGTATTGCATGATTGTATACATTTAAAAATATTGCATTTAGTTTGTTGCATTAAATATCAAAGCAATTATTTTTCATATATTAAACTGATTTTTTCTTTTGGAACTTTTTTTTTAGAACATTATCCCATGGACCTAAAATTTTGTCATTCCCATTTTTTTTAAAAATTGATATTATTTTTCTTAACACAAATGATTTCTATAACTGTAAAGTAGATAGTATATTCTTTGAACTTCATGATTAATTGTTTAGTCAGGCTATAAACATACATGTTATTACCATTAAATGTTTTTCTTATAAAATGATTTATATTTGGTACTCTTTACCCGTACGAAAGTTCGAGGCAGAATAGGCACGGCTTGGGCACGGCTAAGACACGGAATCCGCACGGGTTTTTAAAAAGCCGCACGGGTTCTGCATGTCCAAGACACGGACACGGCTTCCGTGTCTGAAAGTGAGGAATCCTCACGCGCAGAAACCTGTGTGGAGGCACGGAATCCGTGTCCCAGGGAGACGGTTTTTAACTAAGGCGGGTTTTGGTTCAAACTATTTATTTATATCTCACGGCTTTTTACTGAGCATGCTCAATCATAACTTCCTTTATTTGAATTTTAAATTGGAGGGATTCATGGTCATGAGCTAAGTCAATGTGTCTTTTTGCTCTATTTAAAGGATATTTAACTAATAGATGTCAGTTGGAATTGTATTTATGTCAGTCTGGGATAATTTATTCACTTTTGAACTAAATGCAGTAAGTGTAATCTAGAATAAATAAGTCAATTTTTCAATTTTCATGATCTTCCTGTACTGCGATGTTAACAATGAACATGATGAAATAGTTTAGGTTTATTTGAATGACTTTAGTTGGACTTTCACTAATCCTTTATAGTATATATTTTATGTGACATCACTGTGCTAGTGAAAGTTTTATTTAAATTAAATTCTTTCTCAGATTGTGCAAATTTAGCTAGTAGATTAAATTATAATTGAATATTGTACATTATCATTAAAATCTTATTAAAAACTAGCATGGATTGTAACTGATAAAGTTAATCTTTAACAGAAAGTAAATGGACACATTCATGTAAGATTTTTAACTTTTGAAATTCTAAAACTAAGCAAATAATGTAGAGCAATGTGAAGTTAATTTGGTTTCAGTCACCATTTTGGCATCCACAGTCTCTAAAGGCCATGACCTAGATCTAAACAAATGCACAGATCCCGTGACTCCTTATATGGTATACGACACGTTTTTTTTGACACGGGTTTCCTAAAACCCGTGTCTCCATATATGGAAAAGGACACGGGTTTCAGACACGGGTTTACAGAATCCGTGAGTCCATATATGGAAACTAGCACGGCTTTCTGACACGGGTTTTGTAAAACCGTGTGATCTCATTTAAATATTTCGGCCAATATCCCGTGCCGTGTCCGTGCCTCGACCACTTTTAGGCACGGCTTTCCATACATACTTTACATAGGAGCACGGAATGCTAAAGCACGGGTTTTTGGAGACGGAATCCGTGCCTGAGCCGTGTCTAAGCCGCCCGGACTGTTCGTACGGGTAGATACTCTGTTACATTACCATCAACTTTCACTTCCCTAGCCTAACCTGCTGGGATTGTGCTAATTCACTTACAGATGTGTTGAGCATGTTTAGGAACGACTTATCTGTGATGTTGTAAACCTAAGAACGGCTTATCAATTTATATCCGGTTTGTGTACAGCAGTTCTATTTCCCACCCCAGTATCTTTTTAATTCATATAATGAATACACCTTGTTTATACATTGATGAAATTTTATTTTTATGTTCTAGCTGTAAACAAAACAGCATTTTTCTTCAAAATTACAAATTGTACTGAGTAGAACTTCCAGAAGTCATAAAAGAGTTTAGCTAACTAGGGGGTTGTAAATAACAGCATCTGCATCCAAGTATTTGCGCCAATTTTAAACCACCAGGCAGGTCATGCCAAGAACAATGAGATTAGAGAAAGCCACAACAAAGCACAGATGGTGTAGAAGAGGTAAATATTTTGAAAACATAGCTTAACATTGAAACTTTTTTATCTATGAAAATAAAAAGACAGCTGCATTTGCTTTTGATTTGCAGAGCCAGATGTTAATGATTGAAAATTGGGTCAGTAGTATTTTGAATTACATAAATTATTCTTTTTCCAGAAAATGATTTACATCTAAATCCTTATCACAGTTGGAAAATTGATTGAATGATGAAATGGTCATAAGAGGAGGAGAAAAGATCTTGCAGTATTAAGAGTTGACCAGCAGCATAGCTTTCCATAAATGCAATAATGCCAGTGAACTGTAGCCATTGGAAGATTGCATCAGGAAGAAGATGACTGTTTGCAATGCCAGTTATAAAGCATTCAAACTTCTTTTTGTGAATATTTCAATCTATGAAAATGTGATTGGGAAATGTGATGTGAAACGTGAATGACAGAATTGCTCGTGATTTGCATCTTTTATGCCAATTTAGGAGTAAAAAGAATGGCAGGAGTACTCGGCATGATTCTCAAAACTGTGATTCACTGTGATTATTGGAATGTTTCAACTGTTTATTATAAAACTCAGCCTTGGATGTTAAAATGCTGTGAAACGGTTAATATATTCTAACATGTAACTGTGCTTTGAAAAAGTAAATGTAAGATTATGATTTTAAATTTTAATGACAATCCTTTAATTACTAATGAATCTCATTTACATTTTATCACACTGAAAAATATTAAGAAAATAAAAGTGATGTATGCTTAGCTTAATTTGTCTAATCTTTTTTAGCATATGTCTAGTCAAAAATCTTTGTACTAAAGTTGATTGTACATTTATATTCATGCTATAGTTGTAGCTCCCATTGCTGTAATATAATTAATATTTAATTCAAATCTATTTAAAGCAGGCGTATTTTTTTGTACGGGCGTATTCTTTTATACGGGCGTATTTATTTTGCAGGCGTATTTTTAAGGGTATGCTTGAAATCTAGGCGTACTTCTATTTTTAAAATTTCTAGACGTATTTTGAATTTCCAGGCGTACTCATTTGCATATTTCGGCCAAAAATACGTGAGGATTACGCCTCGTGTACGCCTGTATTTTACATTATACGCCTGGTTTTATATATTCATTTCAATAGAGATTTCCACAAGGATTTTTAGATTAAAATACGCCTGGATTTTTTTAAAAATACGTGACTTAAATTTCGTACGGGTTTTCAATTACCACTAAGGGTTTGATGTTAAATACGTCAGATAATTCATTGCCGAAACATGTTTAGAGCAGGTCCGAGGTATCTAATTGTTAATTTGTAAGCAATAAGCTTTTACCAAGTGCTTCTTCACTTTCAGTAAAAATCCAGTGGTTTTAAAATTTAGCAATGATGTTAAATTTATTTACCATGTAGTTGTGGACACTTAGTTAAATTACATACAAGTAAAAAATTTTAATTAAAATAAAAAGTGGAATATACCCCATCCCCCTTCTAAATCTTAACCTGAGTTCTTCTCCAAGCTAGCTGCATGAGCAACATAAAAAAGATAGTTATACTTGTAGCATTTTTCTTGTAGAAATATAATTTATTTATATAGATGCGCAAAAATGCACACACAAAAATTCATACCGTTCGTTTGGTTGATGGTGCAGAAAGATGAAGGTACGAGTATGTTGAAATTGCTCTGATATCTTGTTTGAAATTTAAAATTTATTCAAATAAGATTTATCTTCTTTCAATAACTGTTTAGTATCTTATATTTAAATATTTAATTCATAGTGTGACAAGTGTATTTGAATATTTAACCTATATGTTTTAAGTGAAACCTACTTGTATTTATTTTTTCCTCTCATTTTAGTTGATGTTCCTACCATCCCCCTGCCTGAGAGAGACTCACATGAAGAACCTGGATCTGATGAGGTTAATGTTTTTAAAACTTTATTAAATTCATCTCAGTCATATAATCAAAAGGCACATGTTTCCTTCATTACATATATATATATGAATATTAAAACTATTTGTTTTAAGTGAAACCTACTTGGATTTATTTTCCTCATTTTAGTAAAAATATATGTCGAATATTCAGTTTTTAAGTATACATACATTCAATAGTGAGAGACTCAAGTTTTATTTGAAATTGAATCTAGGAATAAAATTTGATGTGTGTGTGAAAAGTGTAACTATTATAAAATATTATTCTTTGATCATGCAATTAGTGTTATTATAACAGTGCTGAGTACTTACAATCAGCTTGTATTGTTGTAAGACACAGACTTGTGTTCTGTATATTATATATTAAAAATATATCAGGACATTAATTGGCTAAAATTTTATTTATTTGAATTTTTAATTTTTCTTCAGCAGATATTTGTTTAGCGTGATATATTAAATTTGTAGGAGTAATTTGTGTAGACTTTGGTAAGAAGATCAATTTATCTAGAACATACTTAAGAATCTTCTGAATTTTCAAAAACAATTTTTATTACATTTTGGATGTATACTTTTAATTTATTCTGTAAAATTTTAAAAATATAATTACTTTGCATTTACAAAACTCTGCCTGAAATTTTATTCCAAAACAATAACATAAAACATATTTTGACAGGAGAGGAACATATATATTTTACAGCAAAATGGGGCCGAATATTCGAATATCAACAACAATTCCTGGATACACAAAAGTGCTTGCGTTGGCCGACTTTTTGGTGACACTAAGAGACAAGGCCACAATGACCACAGCACAAGTTCAGCAACTGAAAGAACTGTGGTCAGCACTTTCGGAGTATGACAGGAAGAGGACAGTTTTCCCACCTCGGTTCTCTAAAGATCCAGTACAGGGAAGATTCAGACACAAACAGAAGAAAGTTGCTCCAGGAGTAAAGAGTATTGAGAGGTAAAAATCACACATTTATTAAGATATCTGTACCTTCATTTATATAGTGTGTTGATACATTAGAACTTGTAATTAAAAAAAATAAGGCAATTATGTAAACTTTTATTAAATGCACCTGGTCTGTGTGTACTAAACAATGAATTCTTTTAAGGGTGATTCTGGGCCCAAATCAAAGTCCTGCCCAGTGGCCAAACTGCAATCGCTACACTGAGGCAACTGTGGAAAAATTGCTCCAGATTTACCCAAGTGACCAGAGAAGAGATGGCAAGGTGGTTTTCACAAAATGGAATGCAGTCCTTGGGGCCTACCACAACATTAGGAAGACCATTTTGAATAACCACCTAGCAATGGAGTCAACAGATATCCAGCTTCCTCTCCTTAACAAAAAGACACTTCAGCAGTGGTAAGTTGGGGTCTTTCTTTTCAATACACTAACAGAAGTGAATCATAAGTTAGAGAAATACATTAACATTGAATTTAAAACATATTCAATTTGTGGCACTTGAATGCAAAATTTATATTTTTCCAGGTTCAATGAGAAGAGTAAGGAACAAGACAAGAAGGTCCTTCTCCAGGGACTTGTGCTGCCTACACCTACTATGACTGTTGCTAGGGCACCAGAGGCAGTTTCTAAACCCATGTCTCTACCTTCAGGCAGTACAGAACCATTCTCATTCCATGACCCACCTTCAACAATTGGCATGGCTAAATTGAAGAGCAGACCAAGGAAACCAGCTTCCACATTCACTCCTTCAGTGGCTCCTATTCTCCCTCATCCTACTCCTAGCAACCCTGGGATCACCTTTCAGTTGGTGATCCATAGTGGTAACTCTACAGTTTTGCTTCCATCCAGCCATATTCCATACTCTACAGAGCAGTACAGGAAAAGGAAACAGGAGCAGGAAGAGCTAGGAAGGCCAAAGAGGAAGTATGTAAGAACAACCACTGCAGTCAAGTGTGGAAAATGTGGTGAAGACAGGACCCTGCCAAACCATCAGCAGTACATGGGGTACCGATACTGTGCCAAGAAGGATGAAGTGTCTTTTAAAGATTGGAGAGAAAAGTTGCAGAAGAGTGGAGCAGCAAGAAAGAAGAAGACCTGAATATGAGTAGGTTTTTTTAATGTAAAAAGAATATTTGCACTTTTCTATTCCTTCCTTTTTGTATTTTGGAAATTTAAGTGAAAAAGAATCATATTTATAGTGTATGATAGGTGGTTGAAAATTTCATCTCAATTTGCAATTTAAAATGATATGAACTATTTTGAACTTACAGTAAAGAACAACATTGGACAGAAATACATGTATCGCAGAAAGGATTTACATTTGGTGGCCAAAAGTAGTATCCCAACTTAAACTCATGATGATTTGGACTATTTTGGACTTGTGCTTCATAAATTCTTGGGAATTCCTGGACTTAACATAAATGGTAAATTTGGTTAAAGTTTAACATGGTTTCACTTTACATTATTTTTGGACATATACTTTCAATTCTGAGGATATACAAAAAGGATCTACATTTGGTTACCATAAGGAAGTTTTTTTTTCAACCTATAATGATTTGGACTACCCCTTGTTATTCGGGACTTCCTGCAAAATACTTTGGATTCACAAAGGACAGGTAATATTTAACTTATGGCCAAACATGGGCCCCAAGCTGTTTTTTCTTTGCTTCTATTATTTACCATATTTTGAATTTCAAACAACATAATTTTTAGACTAACTTTTGAATTTACCATATTGTAAAACTTGTAATGAACAAAGAGTCTTTAATTTCGATTTCATCAAGGGTCACAACAAATTTGGGTAATTGTGTGAAACATGTTAAAATACTTGGAAAGTACAAGTAGTAAAGACTGTAAAGTAGCTATAAATGGTAAAAGTGTAGTTTGGCAGAAAAACTATTGTAAAAGTAGTAAGAATGAAAATAATGAGCATTTTAACAAAGTTTCATAGGATTGAGTGTCTTATTGTTCAATTACATTTAAATTCAAGTACCAAAAAGTCACTCTAAATAGAATTTTTGATACATATTTTAACACTTCTTTTAAGAATTTTTTTTAAATTTGCCATATTGTGAATTATTAAAGTAAAAGTTTTATATCTTAAGTTTCAATTTATAAAAGATTTTGGTACAGATCATTGTTTATATAAATTAAATTTTTAATATCAATTTAATATAATAATCATGATAATTAACTACAAATACATGTAATGTTTTCTTTCTTAAAAAAGAAATCCTCTCAACTTAAAAAGGTTACGATAAAATTTGGGACCCATTTTTGGCCATAAACTTCAAACAACTAAAAATTTTTAATGCTGCCTAATGTGTTGGCCACATTAGAAGGTTCCAAGCCCTTGCAAAAGCAGAGGAAAAATTTTTAGAATGCACTTTTGATTTAAACAACAACTTCATTGAAGAAAAAAGTATACATATTGGAGTTTTTGATCAAGAAATACTATAGTTGCACAAAGCTTTTGTAGTTCAATGGTAGAATACTTTCTTTAGACAGAAGGAGGTCCAAGTTCGAATCTTGGCAAAAGCCGCAACTTGGTAGAAAACTGGATAAAACTTCAATTTTCTTAATTTTTAGCAAATAATTATCATGTATGCTTTATTTTATTTCCATATGAAGTTAAACTTGATAAGTCTATCCTGCATATTGGTCGACGGGTGTACCCCTTTCCTTTTTTTCTCCTCCTTCCCTCTCTCTTTTTTCCTTTTTTTTCTTCCCCTTTCTTTTTCTTTTTTGGTTTGCAGGTGGTAAACTCATGGTTAGTGGGCTTAGCGCAGTAGGTAGAGTGCTCACTCCGTGATCGGGAGGTCGTGAGTTCGCATCTCGGCCGCGACCGACCTAGTCGTTAAAATGGGTAGCAACTGTTCCTTCGCCATGCGCTCGTCACTTTGAAGTGAGAGTTGTGGGTCCTTCGAATGAAACCTTAAAAACCGAAGCCCCGTGTCAGCGGCAGGCGTTGGCACGATAAAGATCCCTCACTGCTCAATGGCCCTGAGTGCCGAGTAAAGGTCAAAATTTGAAGCCCTTCACCGGCATACAGTGACGTCTCCATATAAGTGAAAAATTCTCAAGAGGGACGTTAAACAATATAGAATCAATCACAAAAATTCATTTTATTATTCTGTTATTTCAGGAAGAGTGAGATTATTTGATCTTGAATCCTTCTTTTGGTCAACACTAGTGTGTACAAAACAATGGAAGGAATTTAGGAACCCCATTTATTTTACAGAAAATTTAGAATCAAGAAAGTTTGAAGTGCTTATCTCTGAAGCAGCACACAGTTCAGATCATTTCAAAGCACTGATTAAAACACATTCAAGCTAGCAATGTTTTTGCTACACATTTTTAAAATCAAAAATCATTTTAAATATCCAAATTATATCAGGGTATGGGGTTGCCCATTCGGACACATGGGTTTCTCTACGGGTCTTCCTCCCTCACTGACCCCCTCCCACCCCCCCCCCACCCCCCACCCCTCCGCTTTTTTCTTCATTAGCTATTTTATGTATATGTATATGTATGTATATATCCCTTTTGTTCTAACCCACAACCCAAGAAATCACAACATCTTTAAAACTGCCAAACAATTTTTCCCTATTATTCAACAATCAGAAACATTAAGGGACCTTATTAAACCAGAGGATATACTACACAGCAGGCGTCAACCTCCCAATTTGAAAAAGATTCTTACCACTGCCAAATTTACATCGAACCCCGAGAAACCGATGGTTTCTAAGTGCGAGGATCCACGATGCGGAACCTGTCAATTTTTAAAAACCGGCCAAACCATTATTTTTAAAAACGGAATGAAGTTTGACGTTAAATCTTCTATGACGTGTAAATCTAAAAACCTTATATACTGTATGACGTGTCCTACATGTGAGGAAAATTATATAGGACAAACCGGAACCAAATTAGCCGATCGTGTTCGCGTGCACAAACAACAGATTAAGGATCCGACCATACGAAACACGCAATGTAGTGAACACTTTGATTCTTGTGGCAAAGGACATTTTTATATATTTCCTTTTTACAAAATAAAAGAGGAAAATGAACAATTACGGAAAGCCAAAGAACAATATTTTATAAATCTGTTTAAACCAAAATTGAACTGCTAAAAGGAATTTATATCAAATTATTTTATTATGTACATTTTATATAAAATGTCTCCATTATTGTACATTTATAATAGGCGCTTAACTTTGATCAGATGAACTGTAAAACTTTATCTGTGCGCCTCATTGAACTGTGATTATTATTACGTCACAATCATTATGTATAACGTTGCCTACATAACGTCACGAGAATGACGTCATAATGTAACTTGTTTACAATTTCAAATCTACTGATGAGCCCGCATGGGGCGAAAGCGCTTTAGATAAAAGTTTGAGTTTATCATTTGAATTTGGATTTTATTTTATCCCTATACCAAGGAAAAATAATTTTTTGAATATATATATATATATATATATATATATATATATATATATATATATTTGTTATACCCTTATAAATATCCTTCTATATATTTATTACTAATAAAAAGTCCAACAAAAGAAATGTTTATTACGTCGGTCTAACAATTTCACTATTGACCGGTCTTACATAAGAATTGTTAGACCGCAACGTCACTTGTCTGTTACGTCACAATTAATAATCATCGTTCAATATCGGCGACGCGAAAATAGCCGAAGTTAGGAGCTATTTTAAAAGAGTTGTTGCTAACAGCAAGGTAAGGTAAAAGGGAAGAGTATGTTTTGTGATGTATAATTTTTGTGATATAATAGATTTATAATTGATTTTGTTCTTTCTCAGCTTGATGTTTTATATTTACTGAAGAAGCCATAATTTTCCATATAAAATAATTGATAGTAAAGCGTGTATTGATAAAATTGATCAATCTTAAGTGAGCAGTGAAGGGTATAACAAAACAGTTATAGACTGGGATTCGGGCAACATATGATTTGTTGGACCTGAAGATGAAAATGTTGCCCTTGGCCTGCGGCCTCGGGCAACATTTTCACCTTCAGGTCCAACAAATCATATGTTGCCCTCATACCCAGTCAATAACTGTATAATATATATATATATATATATATATATATATATATATATATATATATATATATATATATATTAGAAAAAAATTGACAAGGCAACTATGTTAGTAAAACGTAAGCGCTTTCTTCATTATTTCTTCAGACGTTTTACATTTGAAAACAATTCAAAAATGTGACGTAATAACGTTACCTGTTGATAACGTCAACAACAATTCAATGACGTCACAATGCTTACGTTTTACTAACATAGTTGCCTTGTCAATTTTTTTCTAATATTAATTACCGGACACTGTGATATTTCTTTCATTTTTGGATATATATATATATATATATATATATATATATATATATATATCTCAGTGTTAAAAAACAGTGGAAATGGGACGTATTTGTGATGAAATAATGGCATCTTTTAAAAATCTTCTCGAGAACCACAGGGCTGGGAAAGATGAGACTCAAGTGAAAGCATCCTCAGTTAGTGTAGATTCAAGTTTGTTCAAATCATGATCCCCAGGAGTAGGATAGGACCAAAATGTGGGATCAAAGTTTAATATAGGGAAACATTGGAAAAATCTTTAAAAACTTTCTTCTCAAGAACAACTGGGCCAGGTGAAAGATGAAACTCAAGACGAAGCATCCTCGGCCCCCCCCCCCCAAAAAAAAAAGCTACATGCCCTCTTAGCGGACCTCTAACTTTGAGAGAATTTTGTTCTCTATTGAGAGTGGTTATTCCTTTTTGCTATTTACATGACAACAGTGTAATTCATAGTGCAATTATATCTTCAGAAATCACTTTCTTGTCTAACGATTAAAATGTATGAAAAACTTCAGTCAGCATTCGACTTAATGATAATTGAATTGTATTTGCTGACAAGATCATTATATTGACTATAGAAATAAAGAATTGAGAACTTGAAATGAGACTGCTGATATTCTTGTTTCTTCAACTTGTTTGTTAAAAAATGTGAGAAATGCTGTTTATTTACAATATGTTATGCTTGTAATGGGACTTAGTCTGGGCCCCATCCTTGATAGCTGCCAGTCTGTTAGTTTATTTAAAAAATTGTTGACAGAGTAGGCCCAGCTGGGAAATAAAAATTTGGGAAAAAGTTGGTACAATTTTAATTTTCTTAAATAATTTTTTATTGCTTGTCAAGTCTAAGTTTACACTTCACAATCTAAAGTTTAAATTTAAATATTTAAGCTATATATGGCGTATCTGAGCTAAAAAACAAAAATACGAGATTAAGCGTAGATTTACATGATATTTGGTATTTATGTTCAATTAATTTATTTTGCACACTTAATTATCCCCACGTTTCTATTAATTAAATTGACTTTAAACTGTATCTGATATTTATTTCCGACTTATTTTGATCCTAGTTGGAAATGAAATGGTTAATGTTTTAAATCTGTGCTATCTATGAAACAAGCGCAATTGAGGAAAGTCCTATCTTAATATGAAGCGTACGTAAAAAAAAAACAAACAAACAAATCGAAAGATCTTTTTAATTAGGGCCCCGCTTGGTGGGCGCTCTATAGTGATCAGTCTGTCCGTCCGTCCGGCTGTCCGTCCGTCCGAGATCTCTTGTCTGGAGCATATCTTCTCTCTCCTTGGCCCAATCTGGCTCATACTTCACCCGCAGAGTGCCTTTGGGTAACCGCTGTGCAGTGACCTTGAACCATGTTTCTAGGTCAAAGGTCAAGGTCATAGCAGACTTATATGTAAAATCCTTGTCCAGAGCATATCTTCTCTCTCCTTGGCCCAATGTGGCTCATACTTCACCCGCAGAGTGCCTTTGGGTAACCGCTGTGCAGTGACCTTGAACCATGTTTCTAGGTCAAAGGTCAAGGTCATAGCAGAATTTTATAAAAATCCTTGTTCGGAGCTAATCTCTCTCCTTGGCCCAAACTGGCTATTACTTCACTCACAGAGTTCCACTGGTCAATGGATGTGCAGTGACCTTCGTCAAAGTTTCTAGGTCATGGTCACAATTACCCTTTCTGTTTAGAATCTTTGTTTGGTGCATAATTTTTTCCCTTTAATTCCAGTAAATTTATATAACTGGGGATACAAGATAACTTCCATATATATCTGTAAATTCGCAATATCCTTGAAGTTGTACTAAATGACTTTTACTGTATTATTTTACTGTATTTTACTGTATTACACAAATGTTCCTCTTCAAAATAAACACTTTTAAACTACCTTACATTTTCATGTTCATTGTTGAAAGCAGGGCCCTTTGAGATGGCCACCATCTCTATATTATATCTAGTTTTAGTTAGTCTGAACTTATCAAAAATACTCCATTTATCACTTTCACACTTTGATTCAAACAGTCAAATTTTAAATAAATAAAACTTTTTACATTTTGAGAGTTTTTTTTTAGAATTAGAACTACTTCAAATATCCAAATTATCAAAAATGCCAAACCCGGTTTGAATTTTTTAAAACCATGTCACAAACGCTTTTGTTCACGCAAAAGAGTTTTGTTTTGCTGCAATAATGTAGCCTCCTCCTTTTTTTCGGAGAGGCCTACTCCAGAAAATATAAGATATGATGAAAATCGGAGAAAGCTACATCAATGCAGCTAAACTTTTTTATTTATTTAGAATATTGAATTAAATTGAAACAGGCAAAGTTTAAAATTCAAATAAGGTTTGGAAATTGAGAGCTAGTTTGGATATTTGAAGTAAAATTCTAAAATTAAAAGTGTTTTAATTATTTGAAATTTGAATCAAAATTCTAAATTTCAATAAATCAAAAACTTCTTGAACTTAAGAAGTTTAAGAGGCCATTAATTGTGGCCAAGCATTTACAGACTATATTGATTTCTTTAATTAGAAGTAAGAGCTCCATATAAAGATATACTAAAATGTTCATATTTTAAAACTAAAATGTGTGAATTTTTTTCTTTGCCAAATGATAGTTGACAGCTTAATTAGGATACCATTTCAAAAAAGATATATCTGATGGTTAGTTTAAAAATGAAATAAAAAGTGAGCTTGCTCATATCCAACGCCCCCCCCCCCCCAAAAAAAAAAACAAAACTTGAAGTGCTGAAATTGCTGAGAAAAATAAAGGAATCCCAATATCCTGGTAATATGCACATCTACACATTGTGTATTAAATATCTGCAAAGTTTGACGCAATTCTGTGCAGCGGTTTATGAGAAGTTGCGCTGACAATCTGTTCATTTCTATATTCAAGATATGGCCAAAAATATTCAAGTTGAAAAGTGCCGCAGAAAGTTCCAGAAAAATAATGGAATCGGAATTTCCGGGTAATTTGCAAATTAAACACTGTGTACTAAATATCTCCAAAGTTTGAGCAAATTCTGTGCAGAATTTGGCTGACAATCTGACAATCTGTTCATCTCTATATTAAGATATGGCGAAAAATCTAAGTTGAAAAGTGAGGAAATTCCAAAAAAAAAATTCAGAATCGGAATTTCTTGGTAATATGCACATCTACACATTGTGTTACTTTTAGCGAAATTCTGTGCAGCGGTTTAAGAGGAGTTGCGCTGACAAACTGTTCATCTCTATATTCAAGGTATGGCCAAAAAGCTAAGTTGAAAAGTGCGGAAATTCCAGGGAAAAAAAATTAAAGAATCGGGATTTCCCGGTAATATGCACATCTACACATTAATGTGTCCTAAATAACTGCAAAGTTTGACGAAATTCTGTGCTGCGGTTTATGCGCTGACAAACTGTTTATCTCTTATTCAAGGTATGGCCAAAATGCTAAGTTAAAAAGTGCGAAAATTACCATAAAAAATAAAGGAATTGGAATTTTCTGGTAATATGCACATCAACACAGTGTGTCCTAAATATCTGCAAAGTTTTACCAAATTCTGTGTAGTGGTTTATGGGGAGTTGCGCTGATAAACTTTTTATCTTGATATTCAATAAATGGCTAAAAATCTAAGTGTAAAAGTGTGGAAATTCCCGGAAAAAGTAATTAAAGGAATCCGTTCAATTTCCTGGTAATATGTAAATCTGCGCATTGTGTCCTAAATATCTACAAAGTTTGATCAAATTCTGTGCAGCGGTTTATGAGGAGTTGCGCTGAAAAAACAAAAAACAGGAATGACGAACTGACTGACGGATGTATGGAGGATGGGTCAAAAACATTATATACCTCCCGCAACTTGTTGCGTGGGGTATAAAGAGCAAAAGATGTTCATATGGTACTAATCGAATGTTAAGTGTAAACTTTCTGAACAACTGATATATTAAAAACTCTTTTGTGAATTATATATGGATATTAGAGTAAACTGTAATATTTTGAAACACTTAAGATTTTATAAAAACACTGTGAATATGTTTATATATGGAAATGATGCAGTGTTAAATGATATGGCAAAATTTTCTTTTTTAGCTTTTAAAGAGAGGAAAAAGTTCATTGAGAATTTAATACGTGATAATATATAAGCATAGTTTATATTTTTTCCATAATGTATATTTAAAATGAAATTGTAAATTTTTTGTAAAAATTTTTATAAATACAATAAATATCTTGATCTTATTAAAAACTCGAGAGTTTAAAATGCACAAATCATTTTTGAAAATTTAAATTTTAAATAAAAGGGGTAAAATATCTAAAATGTGACATTTTTAGAATTTTTAAAATTAAGATTAATTAATTTTTGTTTGAACTAAAATATTGAATTTCAATAAATAAAAATCAGTTCTAGTTTTTGAAATTTAGAATATGAATTAAAAAATGCCAAAACTCGAAATCATTACAGTAACTTGAATTCGGATTTTGAAAACATAAACATGATCATCTTCCCAAGTCCAGAGTTTCTGGTCCGCTCCGCTTCACATAATTTATGTGGAGCGGAGCGGATCAGAAACTCTGGACTTGGGAAGATGAAACATGATGAACTCTTAGGTCATTCAATTCAATCGGGTTAGGCCTTCCTCTCCACATGGCATTGAGACAAATCCACAGCACACATTTGAACTTGAATATTTAATATTTATCCCATAAAACACATATTAAAAGAATTACATTATTTGTTAAATATTACCTATAGATTGCAAGTAGAATATTAATGAAATAATCATGATAATTATTTATATTTTTAACTTCATCAAAATTCATAATCCAGATTATTTCTTTATCATATTTCATACTTGAAAAACTCAACAAAATCATTTGTTTTTTTTTTATTTTATTTTTTCATATTCATATTCTTCCTATAAACATCAAAATTGTGATTTATAAATGAGCGTGTTGTTGTTTACAACACAAGTCAGCCAGAGTTATCGTTCTTGTCGTAGGTCCGTCTAAGAGAAGAAATAGTTCCCCTTATCGAGCTTAAAAAAATACACCCTATAAATTCTTTTTATAAAACTTTTTGTGTATGTTATATATTTAGGACATGCTAAATCAGAGTATCACATCAGTTTTGCTGTATATATCCCACATTTTTGTATGTCTTCTCTAGGCCTTCAATTACCTGTAGGTCTTCAATTAGGCAGACCGGTTCGGGGAGATAATATAGACTTTTAACAAAAAAGCTTTCTCGGGTTTTCGTAAAGAAAATGTCAACAGACTCCCCTCCCAAAACTGTGGCTTATTTCCTTGATCCAGATGTTGGAAACTTTCATTATGGTAACAAAGACTTTAGAATTTCAAGAGTTGCTGCTTTTTTAATTACACAACACATCCTAAATTCTATTTTAAAAGGACGCATCTGGGTTTCAGATGTTAAGAATATTTCATGGGTTTGCACTGAGTACGAGGCAAGCAGGCTTAAAAATTTATACGTTATATTTAGATTATTAAATTGCAAAACCTTGATTATATTTCTTATAGCGTAAATGATTTTTACAGTGTCAAAATTTTGACATTTAAGGCAGATATGATACTGGAAAGTTGCATTACCAAAAGCAACATAGGTGTAGCTGAAATATGGTAATTTAGAATAAACATTATGAGATAAAGGAGGCCAGTGGCAGAAAAACAATGCTTCCCAGCCCACAATAGCCAGTATAAAAAGTTAAAGTTGGTTGATTAACGGTAGCCAGATAGCTCAGTTGGTAGAGCACCTGACCTGATTCTCAGGGGGCCTGGGTTTGAATCCCGGTTTGGTCCGCTGCAATTTCTCATCTACCATTAGAGTTAGAATTATTTAACTGACTTCACTACAGCTAGAATGCCTACCATATTCTGTACTTGTAATTTTGCCAAATATAATTGCAAAATCGCATGGAAACGATTTTAAAGAACAGAAAAGGATTTCCACTGAAAATAACTACAAAATTAATTAAAACAAACCTGTTTGAGGTTGTGTTTGTCTTTTAACCTATTATAAAGATGAAAATTCAACTCATTTTCTCAATTTTTTGTGGCTTCAAATTTACATACCATGTTGACTGGTATAACTCTCAATTGTTCACAGAGATGTACTGAATTAGAGTTATCTCCCATTTATTGTTAACTACATTGCCAATACACTATACACAATCTCTGAGTGGAAAAGCTGACTTACACCATGAAATGATATGAGCCAATCCCTGGCAGAGAGCAAATTTAAAAATGAATTGATTTAAAACTACAATTCCAGTGTTTAGATATTGCAGTGAATGAATAGAATTGTTTGAATTTCAATACCTAAAAAGATTACGATATTTTTCCGATGTACTTTTAGAAACAGGTTTTTATCCAGTCAAAATCCAGGAACATATTCTGACAGAGGCAATGTAGCAAACTAATTAATAAACAAAGCCTGATTGATTCTAAAACAAGTAAAATTCCAATTGAAAAGCGATCCAAAAGATAGGATTGAAGTAAGTTGTCTTTGAGTAAAAGTAAGAGAGTAGTGAAAGTTGAGGGTGTAGAAATAAGAAGGCCTTTAAATTGCCAGTATGTCACCTTTACTAATCCTTTCCCCTCTTTTTTTGTAGGGCCAGGGCATCCCATGAAGCCACATCGCATTGCTCTCACACACTGCCTAGTCTTGCATTATAACCTCCATGAGAAAATGGAAGTGAGTATTCTAAGAACTGAATGTAAACATATATTAAAACTTTTTAGATATTCTTATTAAAGTAAGAAGAATTCTAAGAGTTAAGGCTAAATTGAGTAAAACATTTAGAGTTTTTGGTAAACTTTACTGGACTGAGTTAAATATTTCATCTTGGCATTAACTTTTACCGGTACTCTAAATGCTTGACTTGGAGAAACTCGGAGAGTATCAGATGAATTATATATTGGAGATACTAATTCAAGGACAAATGTTCTAACAGATATACAGACCCTACAGAGCCTCGGCACATGATATGTGTAGATTTCATTCGGAGGAATACATTGATTTCCTACAAAGGGTGGCACCAAACAATGTCAGCAATTTTCAAAAACAACTCAGCATGTTCAATGTCGGGGATGACTGGTGAGTATTTATTGATACCTCTGCTATTATCTTTACACTAAAATAGAATAACTTAATTTTGTTTATATTCTCGCCTCTCATTTGTTGATTTCCAAAAAGGAATGCAGAACATTTTGTACAATCTTTGACGACCAGCTTAAAACATGCAATCCCCTCATTTCCAGTCCTCGGAATCAATGGAAAATTCAAGATTTAATAACTGTATCTTTAACTTCAAACACTTACTCGATCTTACCTCATGTAAACACACAACATGGCTGCTAGATCTATGTATCAGTTATTACCTCCCCTCGTTTCACATCGCTTCCGTTACTAAGGTTGTATTATTGCGCGGTAAATTTGAACTCGTAAAAAACAACACAATTTTACATCCAAAGTTGTTTAATTATTTTAAAATTAAATTATAAGGAATGAAATTCTTGGCCAAATTAAGTATAATCTGGTTTGGGTCAGTTTACGCTTTTTTATAATACGCTTGGCGGGTTATAAAGCGTAAACTGACCCAAACCAGATTATACTCGATAATTTGGCCAAAAATTAGAGTCATTCCTTAATTAACTAGGTCATGTTTATAAGTATGGGAATCAGGGACGAAAAATCTGGAATCACATTTAAAGTTAAAGGCCCTAAAAAAGATTTGAACAAAGAAAAGAATTGAGATGTTAATTAACAAAAATTCCTTTTAGTTATGTAGATACTAGTCCTTATGTATTCTTTACATCAAATTTATTTTCATTTTCAGTCCAGTGTTTGAAGGCCTGTATGATTTTTGCTCCATGTACACTGGGGCATCGTTAGAGGGTGCAGTCAAACTGAACAACAAAGTAAGCTACAAATAACAGCCAGTCAGCCCTCAAATTAGCATAAAGATGATTAATAAAATATTTTACATTTGTAGAAGTAATCAATGATATTTTCTTTTTGTTTTATATTTATGCTGGTTTGTCATTTGCTATGGAATTCATGCATTGTTTTTTCAGCATTGTGACATAGCTGTTAATTGGTCCGGAGGACTTCATCATGCCAAAAAGTTTGAGGCCTCTGGTTTCTGTTATGTGAATGACATTGTCATTGCAATATTAGAGCTTCTAAAGTAAGCATTTGACTTTCGTTGGAAAGTAAAAGTCAGGAATTTTGCTTTTGGTATACATGATTCTTTTAAGGTTTTATACGTTTGGTAGTACATTGACATAGTTTCAGAGAGGTTGCTTCCCTTGTGAAATTAAATACTTAAATGGTTTTCATAAACCATAATAATGATAAATGATTTAGATATCATGATTTACAAAATGCACCTTTTATTTAATCTAAATAATATTAAGTTATTTGTATCCCTTTTAGTCTATCATTAACATTTTAGGAATTTAAATTCACAATTTTTAAAACTCTCTCATAAGGTACCATCCTCGTGTTCTGTATATTGACATTGATATTCACCATGGAGATGGAGTACAGGAAGCCTTCTACCTGACAGACCGAGTCATGACAGTATCATTTCATAAATACGGAAATTACTTCTTCCCTGGCACAGGTAAAGGATCAGTTCTAAGGTTTTAACTGTCAAAAATAACAAGGAAAAGTCTTGAGAGTGAAATCAAATCAATATCCAGTATAAGATCTAATTAAAATTAGCCCTTTCATCTTGCTGCTTATATTTGTACTGTTACTGGAGAAAAATTAATAAATAAACAAGAGTGTGATGGAAGGGCTGTGATAAATTGGAGAAAATGTAAATTTTGAAGTACTGTAGTATAAATGTAAAGAGCAGAATAGATAAGTAATATGTAATGATGATTTGTAGGTGATATGTATGAGATTGGAGCAGAGAGTGGTAGACATTACTCTGTTAATGTGCCATTGAAGGAGGGGATAGATGACCAAAGTATGTACAATGAAATAAAACATCATGCTTTTTAAAACAGTTAATGTTTATCACAAATAATGTTGAAACCGTAAACACATTAGTTGAATAAAGTAATTTTACAAGATTTATTTTAATTTGATTTCATTTTAAACTGTTACAAGTATTAAATGGGAAAGACATGAATCTTCAAAACAGTTTCTTATGAGCTGACTTTCAAACATAAGTATTAGTTGTTGATTATATTTAACTTCATGTTTTCTGCAGCATACATTCAGTTGTTCCAGCAAGTAATTAAATCTGTAATGGACTTCTATCAGCCTACCTGTGTTGTCTTGCAAGTAAGATTGCTTTATCTCACATTGAGAGAGAATTTTTTTTTTGCTTAAAGAATTAGTCTTAAGAATTTTTCCAAAACTGTTAAGGCCATGCAAAGTTAATTACTTGGTTCTCAGGCCTTTTTTCAAGAAATATGATGAGGGAGGGAGGCATTTTTTTTCCCTTTTTTATTGCCCCCAAAACATGATGAGGTGATGAGGCAGCTTTTTACATTGTACAAAACCTCAAAAAATGATGAGGGAGGTGATTTGGTGTTTATATTTTATTGATTTAGCAATAAAAAGGGTCAATGAGGCACCCTTGGAAGAGATGAGGGAGGGCCTGAGAACCAAGAAATTAATTTTTTTTGCCTAAAATGATTGGCTGAATAGTGAATACACATTTATGTTACTTATTGAAATTTTCATGCATCCAACTTTATCAAATAATGGGTATAAATGAAGATCTTATTGTCAGTTTTTTCTAGTATAACTGATGAACTTGCATTCCATTCTAGTGTGGAGCTGACTCCCTGGGTAGTGATCGGTTAGGCTGTTTCAACTTGAGTATTAAAGGCCATGGGTAAGAATAACTTTCTGTAATACTTGTACTTGCGTAAAGTTAAATGCTATATACTTTCTGAATTTAAAAGTTAATTACAAAATTTTGATGATTTTAATTTCTGATAACCAACGATTACTCATGATTGCATTTATTGCTGATTTGTAAAATTCAAATCCATCTGTGACTAAAATTTTGTGACTGAGAAAACTTTCTTCTTTTAAAAATACACAATTGCGTAAATGGTTCATGGCAAGAAATATTTGTGTATAATAAAAAGAACTTCATAGATATTTCAAACTTTCAAAAATAATAAGGCCTGTTTGAGAAATGAATGTTCTCATTTGCTCTTATCCAGTGAGAATGTTTAAATCATGTGCGTTTATTTTTAGTGAATGTGTAAGAATTGTGAAGGAGTTCAACATCCCCATGCTGGTCCTGGGAGGAGGGGGTTACACCAAGAGAAATGTGGCTCGGTGCTGGACCCACGAGACTGCAGTGTTACTAAACGAGGAACTGAATAATGAAATTCCATATAATGGTATGTTGTTGATCTGATGGGATACCGTATAGCTGGTTATTTTAGTGGGATACTAATTTTGGCTTATTTTCGCATTTCGATGGTAGCCTGCTAAAATTATAATTGCTGAAATAGTCAGTACTCTTCTTGGTGTTCATCTGCAAAGAGCTGAATCACTGTCCGCTGAAGTAAATTATTCCAAAATTATTGGCATACCTTTTAGCAAGCAAAACGCCAAATTTTACACCTGCCAAGAAAACCTGCTATACCGTAATGGAGGAATTACTGTTAAATGTTTAATGTATCAAGTACATACTATATATGTTGAATTTATGAAGAAATATGTGCACATAGCTGTGAGAGAAACTTTTTTTGTGTGTATAAGGAAGAAACCTTTCTCATAATGCATAAAATATGCTTGCATGTCAACTTTTGTAAAGTAAAAAGTTATCTCCAAAAAACCTAAGGTTTGAACTAAGAAATACATTTACATTTTTGTAATTAACTAAATTATAGAAACTTATCCCTTATACTTGTATGTTATTATATTTTTTAATATTTTCAGATTATATTCAGTATTTTGCCCCTGATTTCACTCTTCATCCTGATGTATCAATAAAACAAGAGAATCTCAACACAAAACAGGTACATTTTTAATAGTCATTCATGATAAGGTTTACAGGGCATGCATGTATGTCAAATGAATATTATTTTTGTTTCCCTGGAAACATTTTTGTAATTTTCATATGGATTTTCATTATCTCAAATACCATGGATATGTTGAAGTGAGTTGGAAGGCCTAATTCACCATGTTTTTTAACCTAGATATTTCAAATCCTCAAAGTTTTTAGTTTGAGATAACGAGGTTTGACTGAAATTAAAAAATATTAGGTAATGTACTGTAACTCAAACTTCTACAGCGAAATCAACTCACATTTACCTGTAAAATCTTTTGATACACCTGAGTAACCTCGTGACCTAGATTTAAACCTAATTTGATACTTGTTAGACCAAATTGAATACCCTATTGAGCTATCCAGCCAGCTATTGAAAACTTTACTGGTATTTTGTAATTGGCTGTAATTCCTCATTAACAGTATCTGGACAATGTGAAGATAACAGTAAATGAACACCTAAGGAACTTGATCAACTCTCCGAGTGTCCAGATGCAGGACATCCCTCCGGATCTCCTCAGTCTTGAGAACACAGAGGAACACGATCCAGATATCCGGAATCACCAGGATCAGACAGACAAAAGGTCAGGAACAGTATAGAAAAGTTTTCATGATTTCATCTTTGCAAGCCAAAGGTTTTTCAGTGTGCTTTGCTTCCCACAAAACTTCACAGCAAATTACACAGCTAAAACTGGCTGATATGCTGTTTCTAACAAGCTTGATCCTCGGAACCAATATGAAGACTGTTTTGATGTTGCATTACATCATTTCTAACAATAACAGACAAACAGTCATCTATAAATGTATTATCTACCCTATGTTCTTGTACACTAAACACAGATTAAATTATATTACTTTAATTCTCTCCATTTTTGAAATCTGTGTGCTTTTGTTTACATCACCGTTTCTCATTTTTAATGGATAGCAAATTAATTTCCTGTACATCTCTTAAAAATTCATTTGAGGACTTAATTTTTTTTCTTTTTCCATTTTTTTTTTAGAATCGAAGCTAATAATGAATATTTTGATGGAGACCAGGACAACGACAAAGATGGCTTCCTGGATGTCTGACAAACCGTTGATATCTGAGAGACGTCAGATATCTAGAGACACTAAGGCAGCAGGAAGAATCTAGATGTAGATCACATGTCATCTGCCAACAAATACTGACAGGCAATTGAAAGGAACAGATTGCAGTGAAATGTTGGTTTTATTGTTGTGAACGGTTGGGTGTGTCATGGATGAATTTAAGACTAAAGTCTTGTCCGAGAATTCTCTAAGGAATGAAAGGACCATTGATCGGAGATGCAACTTTTTGTCACAAAGAATACTAGTAAATTAATTTATCATATGTGAAACTGTTAGCAGTAAATCATGTCATCATGTTCATACATGTATTATTTTTATGTGCACTTATATATATTGTCATAATTGTCTTGAATATGATGTAAGATTTTTATTTTGTTGTACTTGTCTTATTGAAGCAATTTTTATGTTGCAAAAGAGATTTAAATTTTTATGGAATTGTTATGGATCAGGTCATAAATCAGTTGATTCAGTTCAAGTACATGTAATAAATGTCTAAAATCTCAGCTTTTTTCCCATCATTTACTTGGTATGTGGATGTGAGAAAGATGCATATTCATTATTGCTAAGTCCTATTCCTTTGAACTGAAATGAGCAACAGTTTTGTTTAATTTTCACATATATGTGGCATTTATACCAAATTCCATAGTTTTCATAAATTTTGAGGAAATCTTGGCAACATCTCAGTACATATGAAAAATACACATTCCCAGTAATTAAAAATGAATGGAACAAGAGTTATGTCCCATCTGCTTGTGCTAGGAATAGTCAAAAAAAGAGTTGCTTTTCTTTCAACGTGTAAAATCCAACCACTTAGATGCAACAAACTTTTTGTGTTGCTATAATGTATAGGGGGCTTGCCAAGTTCAAACCAAAAATATTTTTCTTGTGTATTTTAACATGTATTTCTTTAAATCATCGCCGAAGTCCAGTTTGTTCATACAAGGGATATAATGAAATTCTTTTCCCACAGCAACCAAACCAAGATGTTGCATGTACTTCAAAGTTTGATTGCAATTTTGAAGGTCCATTTTGGTCTTTCTCCATATCTGATGTAAGAGTTCTTCAGAAAGATAACCACTTTTATCGTAAATCTGTTTAAAAATATTTTGATGTCTGAAGTGGTGAAAAAGTGACTTTAAAATCAAGAATTTCAGTATTTTTGCTGCCACAAAGCTGCAGAAGTGTATCTCTCTGGAAAAAAATGAAAGACTGGAAAGCTACCCATAGAGAAAAAAATCATGAAACCAAAAAATCTGACAGTTAATACTTATAATTATTTACATGCTCTTGATTCCGCAAATCAATATGCTACAAATCCCACTTCTGTCTCTTCTTAGCCCGCCCAGCACACCTAATCGATGAAACAATAGATTTATGTAGAAATGAGGCGTTGTAAATATATGCTGATCTACAGTAATTGTCATCTGCATGAAGCACATTGGAATGAATTATCTTGCCACCTAAATTGGCAGTATTTAAACAGGTGAAATATTTAATGGTCCCAATTTCATTTCAGGCCAAGGTTATTAAACCTTTGGTTTTGGGAATGTTTTCTTGTGGAAATACTAAAAGAATACACAGTTTATAATATTATAAGATAGCATTTAGAATATATGGAGAAAAAAATTCTGACTCAAGCACAATTTTTGTGTTCTCTGAGTGGCACTGTAACTCTCTGGTCAGTAAATATATTTTTTGAGCTACAGCTCAAGTTTTTCATCTAGGTGCCACGAATCATGCAATTGTTCATGTTTAGTATCATTGTCCTTCTTCCCATCCATTCAAGAAAAAGTACACAACTTTAATCAATAAAAGATTTATTCAATATGACAAAAGACTGGATTCATTTTGCCAAATACTGTCATTCAAAACATAGAATATAGAATAGGATGGAATTGTAAATAAATAATCTTTGTAGAAGACGGAATACAAGAAAATACTGATGTACAGAATAAAGCATTTATAATAAAATACAACACAAGGCATACAAAGTGATCTGTATAGATTTTATGATTTATGTATGTTCCTGGTCATTAAAAGGTTTGGAATTAAAATACATAACAAAAGAAAATTGAATGTATAAAATTTTAAAAAGATATACTAAAATGATCTCACTAGATGTAAACAAATAGAAGTTTGGTAAACTTGTATGCAATGGTTATAAATATATGAATAATAGGAAAGAAAAATCTTGATTATTTGTAACAACACAAAAAAATAACATCACAATCTTTCAAAACATGCAAGATTAAAGAAATGAAGAATCACAGTTTATGATGAAATATCACAGATCAACAAACAATACATACAAATAAATCAGTGAAAAAAAAAATAAACAAATTATAGCACAACAGAAACATTGATTACTTCACTGTTATACTACCAAACTAATGGAATTCTAGGACAAATTTAAGAGACACAGACTCTGAAGAATTAAAAAAAAAAAATTTCATCCAAATGTTGAATTGCACATTTTTTCTCATCCATATACTCAAAATGTGTGAGAGAATTCTGATAGAAGCACATATTTCTCCTTTATAAATATCTAATGAAAGACAAAAACTGAGGCAAATTAAGATAATTGAATCTGAAAAAAAGTAATAAACGCAAGTCTGTCTTTTAAATATGTAAGGCAGAGCGTTTTTTTAAAAGCTTAAACCCAGAATGCATGAAGTCTAGAAACCCTTTTAAACCCATTCCAGCATTTACAAATCTCAATATATATTTATCCATCTCTATATTCATTAAAAATATTTCATATAACAACTGCATACATCTTGTATACATGTACTACAAAATTTGGATAGCTTAATCTAACAGACCCTATGTATGAATATACAGTATATGACCTTCATTATAAATGATGGCATAATAAAAGAACCTTAACTAAAATTAACTTTGCTATTTATAAAGCTGAACATGTACATGTATTCTTTTTTACAATAATATCAATATATTAAGATATAATTTACGTCAACAAGAAATTGCTACGAATACGATGACGTCAGAAGGCGGGAATCGTGCGTGGTGGGGGTCAGTTTAGCCAACTGCTCTTTTCGACTCAGGGTCAGTTGAATTTTCTGTTGGGTCAGCTCTGCCCGCAGGGCCCGAAGTTCTGTCTCTGCCTGGTTGCGTAGCTGTAAAAATTTGTCAAAGAGAAAATGCACAAATTTAATCAATTATCCCACTACATCTAGATCTAATAGGTACAATTCTTAAATTGTATGTAAACTGAATTTTTTTAGTGACTGAGTGTCTTTAATGTTATGAATCATGAAAAAATCTAAAATTTGTGTTGAATTCAAAGAAACAGAAGGGAAAAAGGTGTATCTATGGCATTATACAGACTTGCTTGCATATCTTTACTAGATCCCTTTTTTTTTTCACTTCCACCCCCCTTTTTTCTGGAATAAAATTTCAAACTTCTGGCATGATCTTAATTTTTAAATCTAAAATTAATGGAAGTAAAAATTACTGGAAGTAAAAATACCTGATATTGTACACAAGGAAATTTTTCTTCACATTTTATTCTCATCTGTATGCATTTATCTTTGTATAATTATTCATTTTTATTTAAATAATATGCATTAATTCCCATTTACCCTGTAATTTTTTTTAACATGCAGGCAGATAAAATATTGTGTTCATGTTTATTTTCAAATGATCAAACAGAATTTATGACTTTATTATTAAATTTCTCACCATGCATACCTCATTAAAATTTATTGTGTATTTTTATCCAACAGCTTCAACAAAATGTGTTTAATTTATTCAATTGTCGATGTTCAAATGATAAAGAAATTTAACAATCTTTCCATCATGCTAGCTAGCAATAAATCCATAACTGAATTTCCAATTCCAATTTTACAGCCTCCTGGTTAAGTATTAATATTTCATCTTCTTTGCATGTTGTCATAAATTTACAATAAAATACACAAACTACCAACATGACAGACTGAGCTAAAGTATATGTCACCTGACCTTGAAAAAATTATTCATAATGTGAATGCAGTGGCTGGAATTTTGAACAAAATCTGAAAAATATTTGCACTGATATGCCAAAAATTACTGCAGCAAGCTGTATATCTGAAGATTAATATTAGTAAAAGCAAACAAAAAAGTAAAAATTGAAGTATATCTACCATATGATTATAACATTTTCCCTCATTTACCAAACCTAATTACAGGTATGTTACTGGAAAAACATAATCCCAACAATTTTCCAAAATTCTAATGGTTGAATCAGTGTAATGGTATTGTTTATAAGGTATTATGTAGAGTTATTGTCATCAAACAGAAATACTTGTTTTATTATTTCTGAACTCTCTACAAGAAGTTTAGAAACATTTGGGACATAGAACACCACTCCACTATATACACGTATTCATGAATGCCAAAAAGAAAATTCCACAAAACTACTTAATAAAATAAACGTGTATGACTTGAACCAAAAATAAAATCTCAGCCTGAATGTACTTAGAAGAAAAGAAAAAGTTAAAAAGACCAAAAAACGAAAGGAGAAAACAGAATTTCTAGTGATACACGGGATTTTCTTTTCTAACCTCTAGATATTAATATATTTGGTCTCCAGGGTTTTCTTCAATGGTGCGTAACTCTCTATTGTGTCTTTGCTGATAAAAAAGGGAAAATTCAGAACTTAAAAATTTTGAAATTTTACTCTTGTTTTTCTGTACTTATTTTTTGGATGGTATTATCCTAATGTATATCATGTTAGTGTGATTAATGAAACAAACACAAGTGAAATTGAATGGTAGAAACATTGTAAAAAAAAAATGTAAAAATTAAGAGGAAATACAATAGTGATAAACAAATTTTCTACTTCTGTTGTGTAACTAGCTGATATTAATCACAATGAATGTTTCATTTTTAGGACTTTTATTGTTTGAATTAGAAGACTGTGACAAAAATACAACTTTCACACTAGAACATCACAAATGTGTACATTTACAATGTTAAATATTGCCCCTCATTTTATACCTGACAACAAGAGCACAAGACAACATTGAAAGTGAACATGTTACAACATACAACATTTGGGTTCTATTTCACAAAAGAACATATGACAAGTCCAAAAAAATTTTCCTATTTCATAAATTTCACCAAATCCATCTTAAAAAAATATATTAAATAATCAACACGTTTTCTTTTTGGTCTTGTATATAAGTTCTTTGTAAAACAAAACCCAGGTATATTTACAGCATGCAGCAATAAAATGATGATACACGAATAAATGGGGATATAATTTAAGCCATAGATATAGAAATTCTAAAACTGGCTTCTTAGTTTTTTCCAAATTAAAGGAATGTAACTGAGGAAAGAAAAAAGGAAAGGTTGATAAATTCAGTGCCAGTGAATGGGGCGAGTCAGGTGACATACCTTCATCTCAGCTGTCAATTTCATCTTGGCATTCTCGAGTCGCCGCCTCATGTCGTCAATTTCATGAGTCAATCTCGTAGCTTGTATTTTATAATTATTCTGTAAAATACAAAAAAGTCGATAAGAAATACATTCTTTTATTTTTTTTTACTTCAAGTCAATAACAGTTTCAATCAATGATAAAATGACACATAAAAAACATTATTAGTAAATGAACAACAAATTAATAAACAAGCAAGAAAAATTTATCGTAGAACACTTCAAGAATATTTATATAACAGCTAGGAATAAAATTGGAGTTCTATTTTATTTGTGATTTATAAACATCTCATATAAAAACTCAAGAGAACCCACAAAGGAATTTTCCCCCACTTAAAGAAAACAAGAACATGTGGATAAATGTTTTACATTTAATAACTAATGATTAATGGCTGTCAATAAGTTTAAAAGTTTCTACAAGTGACCCTTGGATTCTCAAACACTAATACATCAAATAGAAAGAGATTTGTCAATGTGCATGTGTCCCTCAATCGTATGGAATCGAGTCTCAACTATAACTGATTTTTGTCTCAAGATTTGTCTCAAAGTTAGGCTGTCGTTCGAGGAATGTTTGAGAGACCAAAAATAGCTGTTTACAATAGAAACTGGTAGTAACTTCAAGAAAGTAATCAAAACTGACTGTCTTCCAATTATACAATACATTCAGCACAGTATGATAATTATTTGGAATTCCACAAATTTGATATCAAATTTTGTGTAGAGAATTTAATATTAAAGAAATGTTCTCAAATTATATAAAAACAATGCATAATAAAAAAAACTTGGCACTATGATATGCATCACATGGGAGATAAAGGGTATAAACATGGAGTCTATTGAACCCCATCCCCCTATAGGCCTAACCAAACAACTCAAAAAAATATATATGTATTCATAAATGGATTAATGTTGAAAATAATTGAAGTTCAAAAACTGTCTACAAGCGAAGTTTGAAAACATAAATTGTCACCTACCTACAAAATTTAAATCAAAATAAAAAAAAAAAATTCCCAATTGAAATGCAAGAAATTATGTAATTACAATTTCTGTGATGTAATTTTAGTACTGGGTCCTAATTCCAGTGCACTCTTCCCTTTTGTTTTTAAAATTTAAATGTACTTCAATGTCAAAATTCCGACCGAAGATTAGGGTCATTTTATTCTTTGGTCAGAATAATCTCTTGGTTTAAAAGTCTAATTTTAAACTCTTTAACCACTCTTAGATGTTCTGTTATTTAACAGGTCGTTACTTAGCTAACAGCATCTAGTTTTTGCATAGTGAAATATTGATTAAAAACAAATTGCTTTGACTAAAAGGTAAATTTTAATCATGTTATGTAAATGCGGAGTATTTGACAAGCAAACGCTAAACAAATTCACATATTAAAATTTTAGTGACTTTTCATGGGTGCTTGGCAAACTACTTATACACAATGAAATTTTCCAAACAAAATAAAAATTTACCAAAACCTGCTTTTTAAGTCAGACAAATACAAACTTTTTGAAAGACTTAAAAATATACAGTAAAACTCAGTTAGTACGAACACGGATATTGCGAATTCATGGATATAGTGAAATTATCTTAGATCCCCAGTTATATAAATTTAAAATATCGGATATGACTTTTTTAAAGACTTAAAAATATACATATATTAAAATTATCCAATACGTCATAGTATACAAGTACATGTATTCCAAACATACTTCTAAAATGCCCCCACCCTCATAAATCTGGATGAAAATCACACACCACTTTTAAAATATCCCTATACATGTACATAGCTTTAGTAGTAGTAATTAGGCCCTCTTCCATGCCTGAAAGGTTCAAATCGAACACTTTTACCAGAATTAGCCGGGGAGCGGTAATTTGCCCCACCGGTGGGGGAACCACTTTTTGGTGTAGAATACTCTGACCCTGACAAGATAGAAGGGGGTTGATATGAGCCAGGACGATTCCCCCTTCCATTTGGAGACCCAGCCTTTCCTGTAGAATACCCATAACCCGATTTTGAGGGAGGTTGGTATGAGTAGGGCCTATAAGCTGAATTGACAGGGCTATGATAGGCATTACCCTGATTGTAATAACTAGAGGGACGACTCGACTTTTTAGATTGGGGGGAGATGGGAGGGAGTTTAGGGCTCCCCATTTTCGGAGGAACTACTTGTCCATTGTAATAATTATTAGCATGATATAGTCTGTATTCCTGATAATACTCGGTGGTATTATTCGGCAATGCTCTCTGATACCCTTGTCTGATTAAGCTTTCCTCATAATTCTGATTGTACACGGGTTCTGGCTCTGCATTTCTATAAGGAGCAGAATAAAACTGTCCGGGTACTTGCTTGTCACCAACCTTTTGGGAAGGTTTTAAATCGCCCAGTCGGGTGGATTTCTCCTTAGAAGGTCCTTCCAACGTGTTCATTAATTTCCTATGAATGATGTCTAGTTCATGTCGTAATCTGTTGCACTGCTCTTCTAAGGGTGGCGTCTTTTTCTTTTCTTCGAAATAACGCTTCTTCCATAAATCCCTGGCTACAAGAAAAACAGAACGAGGAATTGAAATGAAATAGACATCAATAAGGATTATACTGCAAAGGTGTAAGAACTTTTGATACATAAATAATCATTTTGTATCCCTCTTACAATTGGGCATGTATTTCCTTTGTTCATTGTGCTCATAATAACAGGTTTAAGATGTAGCTATATTTTGTTCCCTTATCAGACGGATGGATTACTGATTTGTGATACAGGGTTGATCTAAAGCTTTGTGCGGCTCATCTTTGACAAAAAAATGTTAAATCTTGGATACGATCTGTTTCGTCTATCTTTCATGTTTTCAATTTCCTTTCAGGATTTAAAAACTATTCTCAACTTTTTCTATCTATATCATAATCTCTTGAACAATTTCTAATTTTTCATACATTTGACTTGATTTTTTTTTTCTTTCAAAGCCAGTCTATATCCGATCAATCTACCCTTAACACTGCACTTAAAAATCTACCTCAATCAAAAGTGCACATTATTTTACTAGCACATTCTTTGGTGGCCGTGGTGTTTGTGTTTCAAGAACAATTTACAGTTAATACTTATATAATGGGGGTAAAGTTAGAAGCAGCAATATATAATGCATGCATTCTGCTTTAAGACAGTTGTAACTCTACCATCAAAAATGCAGGCCAAAGATTCAATAAATGTATGCAAAAAGTAGGTTGAAGTTTAAGACTATTGATTCTTCAAAGAAATCTCCTTCTTGAATTAAGCAGGCTGAATTCAAATGATCTACACATGCATTTAATGCATAAAAGAAAAGATATTTTTACTGAAATTAGCTGAATATTTTTATTTTGGATTAGAACTGATTAGTTCAATTTTTCTATAAGCATACAACATTCACTTTGAAATATGCCAGAAGGAAAAAGATTGCAATTATCTAGTAAATGATCTCAAAACCTTTAAATATCACATACAGTAATGCTGGTTCCAGAAATGGATACATTGCATTTTAAATTTATTGTAATGATATAGACTGAACATTTCATATACTAATGGAATTATTAATTATTAAAAAATATCTAAAATTGTTTACATTTGCATTAGTATGTGTCTGACTGCACACAATTCAAATTTCAAATTAAAAATATTTCCTTTGGGTGAAAATTGATTGCACAATATGATACTCTCAGTTCCACATTGCTTCAAATGATTAGTCTAAATGGGTTGCTGTTCAATAACCAATTTAATTATCATTAAAGTTTAATATTGTGTAACTACTGACAATTCAATACTGATCCCATAGAGATATAGATATTAAACTGAGTGAAATTAATTCTCAAGAGAATATGGACAATTTGAAATGCTAATTGCTATTTAAAACTACAAAAAACATCAATATTTTAACCAAAAAACAACACACTCAGAGCAGAAAATGAAATGGAAATATAAAAAGATCACTTTCCTTTTTTAAAACACACCTTGAAATTTTCAGAAAATTGAGGTAAAGCTAGAATTCTTTGTTTCATTGTTGACTTCTCATATTCCACACAGTGCCTTATTACTTGATGTCTGGTTATAATTCATCAAATGTTACCAAACTTGGAATATTGGTTTCATTGCAGTGTGTGAGATATTAGTACTTATAAGTGTACAATATGAGAAGTTAATATTTTTGTTGCTGACATTTCATGCAGAGGATTTAACCTTACCCTCAATAATATTCATCTTGTCTGCAATTTGTTAAAGAAAAGAAGATAAAAAAAATTATTGGCTATTTCAAACTGACCAATCCACTTATTACTTTAGGAATGAAATCTCAGGTAGACATAATGAAATATTTACTTATGAAGAGCAAGGGATGTTCTACATGTTATATTTATTATATTATACTGAATGTTTTATACAAATACATATGTCCAGTAAACGCATTTTTTGGAAAACCACCCGTCGTCAAGCAATGTTGACTGTTCTTGGACATTGAAGATTCAACTAATTTACATGAAAGTATAATATAATGAAATATTAACTTGTGAAGAGCCAAGGGATTCTCTATACTTCCTGTTTAGTAAATTTGTATAACAAGAGGCCCTTAAGCCTTGAAGATCACCCGAGTAATATGAGTTCTAACACAGTTGCATCTGTGACTTTTTGGATCCATGTGATATTTATTTGATAGTTTACAACAACTCATTCATTAATCTCAATTATTTTTATGATAAAATGCATTTTCATAGATATAACTGCTTAATTTGTTAATAAACAATTTGCATACTGAATGTTTTGGGATAGTCAAGAAAAAAATTGTATGAAGATGGTTTTAAAATGGTTTTACCCCCTCCCCAAATATCAGTATATATTTAAAATATAATCAGAATTTGTTTTTCCTTTTGATAGATTCTATAAACCATCATTGTTTGAAACTGCTCCACCTATTCAAGGAAAGTTGTAAAATAATGTTTAAAACTTAAGAACACATAATTTGTGATAAAAGATGGGAACAGATTGATAACAATATTAATGTGGGTTACTGCAATAAAAAAAAGCATCAATGAATCATGATTTATGATTAATCCTCAGAAAGTCTGCATATATGTAGGTAGTAAAAAGAAGTACATCTACATGTAATCCCCAATTTAGCCTCTTGAACACTCAAATTATATTAAGTGTTTCTGAGTGCCAGGTGCCATTAATATAAATCTAAAATTGACTGCCATATTTGAAACGTAAATCTGTCTTACATTCATGGAACACTAGAATTTATTACAATGTACACACAATAAAAAAATTTAGATTACAGAGAAAATATTTATCTTTATTGCATGATACCTGACTCAAAAGCATATAGTACATGTACATATAATTATACAGGTAGCTTTTTACTTTTACTTTAAAATTTTTGTATTTGTGTATTAACTCTTTAAACAAGATATTTTACCATTTACAGTTAGATAAACAGAGTTAGTTTTCAATTATTTTTTTTAACCTTTTCACTGTTAACTAAAAATATCCTGATCTATAATTGCCAAGTTTGATATTGGATTTCTGTTAATTCAATATTAAACCTCTCCAAATCACTCAGCATAAAAACTTCTTCCTAGCAACAAATCATTTGTACATATTCAGCCTGCAAATATGGTACACCCAGAAATAAACAAGGCTTTGGACACTCAGTACACACTTAATCAGCAGATGTTGGCATGTTAACGACCAAAAACAATTGTTGTTACCTTGACAACCAAGCAAAGATTTCTTTGTCAATTACAAAAGCACACAAAAGGATTTCTGGGTAGGGATGGTGATAATTATTTAAACGTATTTAAACCAAAAATAAGTAAGGATAATGAAACATATACTACATGCAGCAAATCAAATGTGAAATTCTCAGTATTTTTTTTCCTTCAAAGAACTGAAAGTAAACTTAGGGAAAGGAGGCAACTTATAATTTACGAATTGGTAAATTTACACAAGGATTACAAAGCTAGCAATTTCACGAATACAGCTTTAGCATTATTTGATTTCTGTCATTCTTACCATGATTTCGCCGGTTTTGAGTTTTTGTCTGCATTAACTTGGCCTTTTTTACTAGTTCTTCTCTTTGTTTTTCAACTGCTCTCCTAGCTTCACGGGCTGCTTCTAATTCTTTCAATAGACGCTCCTCTGCAAATAATATTCAAGAGATTTTCTATTAAAGAGTATGAAAAATTATCTCAAATATTATTCCTGAAAATGAAACTGAATATGTGCAGGTTGTAATTGCAGTATGCACTTATAGCATGCAAAACTCATCCTGAACATAAAAAAACCATGCCCCATGCAGATTGAAAAGTGATGTCTATTTCTATGTTTACATAAAAGTAAGTATTAGATTAAAAAAAGTGATACCAAATATTCTGGGAAAAAAATTATACCACTGAGATGAAACAAATTCAAAGTGGCATATGTTTTAAATATTTATTTAATCTGAACATAATTTTTTTTCTACACTCTTTATTTAAGAGACAAAAACATATCATACTACATTGGACATTTTAGTTAATGAAATAGTTCTGAAAGACTAAATTGGTTTCTGCAAGAATAAATCTTCTGAATGGATTATCTTCTAGAAAAATTCAATTAAAGGAACTCAAGGAAGAAATTTACTGCAATCCTATGTTTGTCAATAAAGTTTCATCAATACAAGGCCCAAATTTATGTTCCAATGAGGAATTTACATGGGAGATTTAAATATAAGAACATATTTGCAACAAACAGGATAACAATGCATATTTATGGATTTATGGGTCAAGCTAGAGTTTCCTAAATTCATTTGATTCTGTTATCCTTAGACCTGTACAATTTAGTTCCTTGCACACTGGCTTTAACTTACAAATCTAATTTTGTGTACACATTGGACTAAGTGTGTGCAACCAAAACCAATGGTTTACGGAACCTCTTCCCAAAAGCATAAATTTCTCACTTATTTCTTTCTTTGTTTCTTGTTTAGAAAAGGATTTCTTGGAAACAATAACCACTGGAGACTCTACAAAAAGGTTCACATTGTCAAAGATACTTTTGACTGAAACCAATTTTCTCAACAAATTTTGGTATTCAACAAGGTGACCTACTTTCAGCTTTTTTGTTTTGCTTTGATGATTCTGTTTCATGGCCCTGACTTGAATCATTTATCTGAAGTGGAGGTGGTGAAGGGAATCTGTTCAGATCCTGAAAAAGAAAAAAAAATGAAATAATTAGCTGATATTCAATTAAACTCAAAACAGATTAAAAATTAAATAAAACATAAATATCTTTAATAAAAAATGCATACATAAACTAGTTAAATATTTATCTTGTTTTGTATCACTAATCCAATTTGATTTTATATTTAAGTTGTACACAATAGTGGAAAATACTCTCATATCATTCATTAAGTGCTTCTGTGATTCTGTTAATATAATGAACCATATGAGCATTAATGAAGTTGAATCTTGCTTTTCATGACATTTGTTGTTTTAATCACTGCAGTGGTACATATACAGACACACAATCCAAATTTGGGTGAATAAATATAAACCAATGTTAACTCTGAAAGAAATGTTTTAATGCACACCTTATGCTGAAAAGAACTGGTTAAATATTGTAATTTTTTTTTACATCACAGGAAATCACATTTCAAAAGTCATGCAAATTAAAACAAGTCACAGGTGATAACTCTGCAATGGTTTCCCAGTTCTGTGCTATTAGTCAGGACATTTTGTGCATTTTTCAGATTAAAACCTTAGGCTTCTTGAGTCTGTTATTGGAATCTGTTTTCTCATCAGCTCCAGTGTCACTGACATCCCCTTGGTAGCCACTGTTAACATTGGAAATCAGAGTGTCTGCCTCTGACTTCTCAAAGGAGGACTCAGTGCCAATCTTACTCCTCAGAACTTCTCCAGCCTCACTTCCACGATATGTTGACTTGGCAGGGTTTTCCACAGCTGCTCTCTCTGTTTCCTTTGCACTAGTGGATTCTGTGACAATCTCTAATTCAGGGTGTGTTGATCCACTTTTGACTCCATTTGCTGAATTTCTAGGTTCTTTTACATGATCTGACAGCTGGGCAGAAGATTGCAACCCTTTTCCCTCACTGGCTTCTGCTACAGTCTCTGTGATTATATTTGGAGTGTCTCTCTGATCAGATCTATTGTTATTAGTATTGAGGTCCTCTTTTTTATCCTCAGGCCTTCCTTTATCAGACCAGGACACTTCCTTTTTCTTCCCAGCAGACGACCTCTTCCCACGTCTCTCTGTATCTTCCTCTCTCACACTCTGGATCACAGAATTTCCATTCACCAGGGATGACCTCCTTTCACTGTTCTTCCCATTATTCTCAGTTTTATAATTACTATGACTATTGGTTTCCTCTCTACCAACAACTGATTTTCTGTCATTTTCAGCAAAGGTTTTGTGATTTTCAACAGACCTTCTGTCATTTTTGGAATTCTCAGGATTAACAAATGTCCTATCATTAACAGGAGGGCGGCTCCTGTGACTGGTTGCATCAGAGAGGTAGCCATCACTGCGAAAACTTCTCACACTTCTTGCATCCCAGTCATGGTCACTATGGTAACCATTATCACCCATCTTCAGTCTGTTTCTACGGTAACTTTCTTCCTCTATCGTTCGATTGGATGAGCCACTGTTGACCTTTACTATGACCCTTGGAGTTAACTTGCCATGAATTTCATCATTTATTTGAACCACTACATTAGAGTCTTTGAGAACAGGCTTGGTTCCCTCTCTTGGAAAATCATTTATGTGAGAAATTCTCCCAAAATTTTCTTCATATTGTGATAAAGGTGTATCGTCTATTTGGTTCCTGGCATCCTAAAGCATGATATTGTAAGCATTACATACTGTAGCTTTATATCATTTCAAGCCTCATCTCTGCATCTAATTAACATATTACACACTTTATTACATATGATACATGCATATTCATGCTGTTATACATAGAAAATATTGCAGTCTGTTTATTTTCAAAAATCATTCACACCTTTTTACATTAAAGAGGTATCCATGCATATTTATAGTTACAAATGTAGAATTTGCATGAATTGCAAAGAAAAGCAATAACATCTACGCATGCAATAAGTAAATCCCGTTTGTTACCGTTTCAGGAATTTTCAATCTGTCCTGACTGTAATTCATTGAATTTCCAGAATTTTGGGGATCCTTCTTTCTACCCTTATTATTGTAAGAATTTCCAAAATCTTTGTCAGTACCCCCAGGAACTTTCATTCTGTCTTTATGACTATGAACTGAATTATCGCTATATGGTTGACTATGATCGCTATGATAATTTTCTGAATCCTGATTAATCCCAGGATATCTATCTTGCTCTCTGTTAAAATTTCCTGAATTCGGATTTACCGAATGGTTTCCCCCTTTCCCTCTGTTGTAATTACCAGAATTCTGATTAATCAAAGGATTCCCTCTTTGCTCTCGATTGTAATTTTCTGAATTTTGATTAATTGAAGTATCTCCCCATTGTTCTCTGTTATAATTATCTGAATAATTTTGATCTCTTGTAGGGTTTCCCCTTTGATCTCTGCTATAATTTTCCGAATTCCGATCTCTCCGTTGATCTCTGCTATAATTTTCTGAATTATGATCTCTCCGTTGATCTCTATTGTAATTTTCTGAATTCCGATTTATCGAAGGATTTCCCCGTTTATTGGAATTCAATGAATTTTCAGTAAAAGCAGATGATGGACTCTGTTGATACTGTTTTCCCTAGAGTGGTATTAAAAACATTCACTTGTTACTACTGGAACTCCTCTCTCTAAGTTCAATATGTGTCAACAAGCATCATTAAATTCTATATAATTTAATTTAAAATTCTGACATCTAAATCAATGGTTATAAGCACTACATTATTGTCACCTGGTCAGAATTTCAATCAAATGACAGACACTTGATTATTTACAAATTAATGATTATTAATTTTCACATCAAACTCTGCATGCAATTGTTTGCTTTACCCGTGTTGTTGTTCTCGACCCTTCATTACTAGCGATGGGCGTATTTTCCGAACTAACTGTGGAAACCTGGGATATTGAAATTTTAGATGCAAGATTACACACAGATTATGGCATAATGAATTTGAGTTTTGAGACAATATGTTTTAACTATCATGACTACTGGTATGATAGGCCAATATTTAATGAACTAAGGTGCCTTTATGGTAAGACAAAAGATTTTTTCCACCATGTTAAATGACAATGGCCTTGAAAGTCTGCCGTATTGGATATTCAGGAGAGTATAGAATTGCCATGCCATGAATGGTTGTAGCATTGATATTAAACAAAATCTTCATTGAAAAGATTAATGTCCATATATTACAGCAGCGTTGTATGGGGCCTTACAATTAAATTGATGTTCATCAATAAGTATTTCCTCATAGTCAGACATAAAGAATATCCTGTTGCATTAAATGATAAGAAAAGGCACTTTAAAGTTTCTCTTATCCTTCAGATAAAGTGATTTCAGTCCAAAATCAAATGAAATAGGCACAAACTTTTACTCAATTTTAAGATACATGCGTCATTTTGTCAATAATTGGAAACCTAATGCCTGAGTGTCATACGAAAAAAATTGCTTGTCATTTCTGTAAAATAACTGTATCAGTCTGTGTCATGATGACAAAATATTTCCAAATGATGACAAAAAAATCTGCAAATTAAGTAGTTATCCAAATTATGTTCTACTGATGGACGACCTAACCACTGGGGAAATACCCTGTATAAGAAATCAATACCAAGATTACCAGGTAATTTTGGACACATCAAGGAGTTTACCAAGGTAGAATGGACTTTTTCTCTGAAAAATGCGATGGCATGATTGCATTCCAATTGACATATATCAACGAGCTTGAAATATTCTTTTTTTTTTAGGTTGATGCTGGAATTTCAAATTGATTATTGGGAAGTCACCTTTTTAACATTAATCTCAATGTTTCCAAGCCTTCGATTTTATCTGCCATTACCTGAACATTGGAGAAAATGATGGCACAATAAACAGTATTTCACTTTTTGCCATCCATGTTCAAAGACATTAGCATTTCCTTTAGATGAGAATGTGTCATTGGCCATTATAAAAATCCTACATCATCATTCCAATAAATCAAATCTTTCCTGCTCACCTCATCAGAACCTGTTAACTGTTGCTTTGGTATTCTATCCCTCTCTTCCTCCAGGCGATGCCTTTCTTCCTCTTCTCTTCTCCTCTCCTCTTCTTCCCTCCGCCTTCGTTCTTCCTCTTCTCGACGCCTTCGCTCCTCGTCCTCCCGACGTCTTCGCTCCCAGTCATCATCATTCTGATCCCCGTTTCTCTGGTGATCATCTTCGTTGTTAGGGTGAAGACGCTGATGAAGGTCATCTCTTCTGTCTTCTTCATGTTTCCTTCTACAAACAACCAGAAGACAAATTTCAACACATGTACTAATATATTTAATTTTTTTTTTTTGGCAATTTAACGTAATCAATGCAAATTATCCTTCAGATTTCCATTTTTCAGTATATTCTTTGAAAACGAAATAAAAAGATGGAGCCAGTCAAATGGAAACATTTAAAAATATTTATTGTCTCACAGAGAATGATACATGTAGAAGAAGCCATTAAGACAAAACATCCAATCACCTGTCTAAGGCATCAAAGTGGTCAACCGGTGAGTTGACGTTGATCCCTGAATCTTCGTTGGTGTGGTTGGTATAGGTTCCTGATGCTGGTTCCCGACTCTGGTCCGCTCGCTTTCTGTGATCTGTGGGAGTAGTGGAATACCTAGGAGGAGCCCGATGGGACTCGTCCCTGGGGGTTTGATTACGGGGGGTATGTTCCCTAGAGACCTTGGGGCGGGGAGGGGTTCTTGGCACGTTTTGGGGAGGGGGTGGGGTGTGCTTGTCTCTATTGGAGCCCCAGGAATCAGTTAATCGTTGGCTTTCTGCCTTTATGTCACCATTGTGATTGTATTCGACCCTGCGTGAGGGGCTGCGGCCTGACCTGATTTTGGGGAGGGGGGAGTAGTGGTATGGGGATGACTGATTATGCCTATGTTTAGATTTGTTGCCGGAGCGCCGCTCATCTTCACCTGTTGATAAGATATGGAGAGAAAAAACACAAATGTAACATCTACGGTGCAAAAGTTTACAGACTGGCAGAACACTGTATAAGGATATCAGCAACTATTTTCTATCTCATTTAAATTTCAAACACCTTGTATCATATTTTTTGCAAACATTTTGACCCAATTTTTTCGTAAATATAAGTTCAAACATTCATTCCTTTCTTCAGTCCATTTTACAGATACATATATACAGTAAAACCTGTCTAATATGAACAGCAATGGTTCCAGAGATATTAGCTGGACAAAACATTATGGATAAGACAATAATTTAAACAAAGAGTCTAGAAATTTACATCATAATAGGCAAGATTTCTGAATACACTGTACATAACATTTGGATTTGACAAGATTTACTGTATGACCAACAGATATTTATCAGAAAAATTTTAGTTCAATTCAGATAATTTGTAAGGTAGTTCTTGAATATCAGTTTCAAATGCTTTAATTTACATCCCCAATTAGCAATGTTCTTCATCTTTAACTTGCAAAAATTTGAAGTTAATAAGAATTTGTTGCTTTTCATAGATGATCTCATATTAATCCCTTTCTATTATTTCAAAGTTGCTGATATACTTTTACAACATAAGAATCATCAACAAAAAAATGAACAGTCAGACATTCCAACATCAAATGAATTCATCTCCAAGATAATACAGGGCTAGCAGATTTAAGACAAATTAAAACAGAGAGAAAAAAAATCAATTTCAAGAACAAATAAAAAATCTATACACTGAAAGCTTTTTTAAAAAGAAAAATTTCCACCTTGCATCTTGAAGATTCTTCATAAAATGTGGATCAATATATTAAAATCAATGTAATGTCAGATCAGAAATTATTTTTTAAACTTTGAAGAATGAAATATCAAACTAAACGAAATTTCCGTATAATAAATGAAAAGTTTAATGTTAAAAGAAGCAAACAAAATATGAAGCCTGTGCAAACTGGTTGACAAAGGAAATATGTACATATTTCTTGAGAGTTCATTTTCATCCTCCTTTGGGTCTCATCTTTTCTGAACTTTGCAGGTCGACTTTTCTCTTTTTTCGTTAAAATGGCCTTGGCCGAATCTTTTGGCTTGATTGCCTTTTTTACTTGTGAAATTTCTGGATAATCCAAAATTTGTAATTTGAATTATAATAAATTGAAGAGCAATTAACTTCTTTGTAATTAAAGTTTAAAATAAACATGAATATTTCAAGAACACATGTAGCATGCAATGGTGTAACAAAGCAAACTTTGTGTAAAAGTATCATTAATTATTCAACACAACACATAGTAACGGTGCCCACAATTAGGAATTTATTTCTTAATTATATTTTAGTGTAGAATGTTTTGGGGGACGAAAATAGAAAACAGGAGCAAGTTATGAATTTCTAATCTTTTTTTTTTTTTTTTTTTAAAAAGAATATGTTGTGAAGTTTTATGGGATTGCAAAGACTTTTTCCCAGTCAATTCTATGGGGGTGGGAAATGTTGTTTGCAAATAGGGCAGCTAAGGGACTATACATAGAAGTTTAATTTCCTTAATGAAATTATTCAAATTAGTACATCAGGTGAAAGATTTAGACTCCATCATGTTAATTATAAATTGATTTTGTAAAATTAACATGGAAATTCCATTAGCAGCAGGTTAGATTACAAAACCAGGAATCATATTCTAGCTAGCTTTTCCTGATCTTGTTGTTATTAAAAGGAAATATTGCTTTAAAGAATGGCAGATCCTTTGACAAAATCTCTTTTTTTTTTTTCTTTTAATTTTGTTTAACACACCCAACATTCCTTAGACCTGGTATCAGTAAAGCTTTTAAAAAATAAAGCACCATAAAGCTTGAAAAGACAGCCAATACTTGTATACTATTTTATGTAATTTTCAATAAATATTTCTAAAAATTTTCCAACATTACATGTGAGGTATATAATCTAGTTTATTTAAATACTCTTCTGAATATAAATTATGACAGATATATATAATATATATTTCTGATCATTGTAAAAATCAGTGCAAAATTAAGAAAAGTACTCAGTGCAGTTAAATAATAGTCTACGTGATGGACTCAGGGGAAAAAAAATTTAAAGTTGAAAATTCTTGTGATTGAAGAGTCTTTAAAAACAAGAAAATACCATTAAACATATTTTTCTTAGAAATTCAATTAAAGAATTGAGAATGTTGTCATGCCCTCTGCCACCATATATAGAGTAACCATTGACAACCATCACCATAGAAACTATTGAAATAAAAGGTTCTCAGACTGCCATGCCCCATAAAGTTTAGAGATGCAGAGCTACTTACAAGAAATTTATTTTTAAGGCCGCAAGTTCCCAAATGCTTCACCATGATGATGTTTATATGCATAATCAAAATGACATAAAATTAAACAAACATGGGAGGCAAATAAATGAAATTCATTAAAACAATGAACAATATCCATATGTGTTTGTCTTGAACCCAATGATCATTCAAACATGTACATGTATTAAAATGGTTTAACTCCAGGTTTTGTAAAAGAATCTGCCAAAGATATAACATTTCCTTTCAAACATTTTACTTTTAATTAGATTTTCAAATTTTTAAATTACACAAAATACAAGATATATACATGTATATACAATTTATGTTTATGTGTATAGCAAACATATCTATGTAATGCTCAAAACCCCTCTAACCAACTAGGCCTAAAACCATACCATTACACACAAACTTAGAATGCATAAACTAGCACACTTATAAACTGCCCTTGGAACACAATCTAATTGCCCATACCCAGGGGTAGGAAGGAATGCACATGCAGTGTTCAAGTGAAGGTGAGCAATTAAAAACATTTCAAAATAATTATATCAAAAATATATAATTAATAATAATTAATTCTACATCATTTCTAAAATATCAACAGCAAACGCTTGGTTAAAATATTAATATGAATGCAGTCATTATAATTTGAATAATTTGCAAAAAATGCCAATCAAAACGTTAAATTTTACTATAAACTGTTCATTGGAATATGTCTGTTAATTTGTGAACCTTTATATGAAAATCTTTGGATAGTACTGTCTTAGTGATATACGTACAGTGTATATTATGAAATGATTACGTTTCTTACTTTCTGGGTTTTGGGAGAAGGGTGATTGTGGCCGCGTCGACGTCCGACTGCTCTCGCGGTCATCTGGACTGACCTCTAATAAATACAACTCAGGGGCATAGGCCTGAAACAGTACAGCAGAGAATGACAAGATGGTGTGATGATAGAGTTGATATGATAGTGAAGAGGTGATGTTCACTATTACTTTATTGTGCTATTATGTCATCATCATCGCATTGTTGTATCACTGCTTCATCTTTAAATCCATATTGCATGTCATGTCATGGCAATATCATGCCTTTGACCCTTTATCGATAATCAATGTTCGACTATGCAATATTAAAATAAACTATATTGCCCTACCAAGATTTCAGAGAGATGGAAAATAATAATATAAAATTTTCTAGAGATTTCTCTTGAATTCAACAAAATTAATAAAATTTGCTTGTAGCATGCATGAAGTCTGAGCACAAAATGTCTAATTTCTTTTACGATAACTTTTTTCAAGAATTACCATCCATTATTCAGATAAGTAATAAACTGGAAACACCTTATAGAGCACAGCTAATTTAGTTAATTACATTCCCTACCTATACCCTGCCTTAAGTAAATTACATTTTGCTGAAAGGTAGTGCTAAAGATTTTTGAATACCATCAAGGTTTACACGTCTACAAGAAATTCTGAGCATTGCATGCCAGCATCTCACAAATTAAAAAATAAAAAAAATCTACATCTTAATTTCAGCTCTCTTAAAGCCTACAAAAGGAAATAAAGTATTAATCAAATCTCAATAAGATAAAATGGAAAACATCATTTATAAAGTAATAAAGCCTCAAAACATTTGCTCCGTAAATTAACAGGGGACATTACTCTTCCTGTCGCTATTTTATTTCCATTTATCAGGAAATAATGCACTTCCCAAAAATATCAAAGCTATCTTTAGACACAGATTTTTCTTTCCTGACAAGAAATGACCTTGCTGATTTTAGCAAAAGGTTAGCAAGTACTGTAGAACTTAAGAAATATTGAATATTCTATCAAAAAGATCAAGTGAGATTTAAAATGTAAAACTCGAAAACCCTGTGTGGTTAGAAGTCAAATATCTCTGTGTTGTTTTAAATCTGGACGGTTTATTCATTACAAAATATGCTTTACATCTACTTCCCTCAATTCTAAAAAAATACATTCTACAATGATAGCTAGAATTTACTTTAATCCTAAACCATAATATCTATTATCTAGGAATAGGGAGTTAAAAACTTCTGTTTGAAGTTTTAAATTCATTTTTAAATTCATTAAAAAGGATATTCGAATATAAATTCATCATAGTATACAAGCATCAAAAAGAAAAAAATATCTGGCAAAAACTGAAGTTTTATCAGAAATTGAATCAAATTCTAGTCTTTTTGGATTTAAGGTGTGAAAAATGTCTATTAAAATAATATAAATTCTTTAATTGACATTTAAAGGTATAACACGTCCATTTGGAATTAGTTTGTATTGTTGTACACATTTTTGTTTATGTATACATTTAAAGTCATTATCAGGAAATTAATTAGCCAAAAGTAATTGCTTTTAATGTTTTTCCATTAGATAATTATTATGTGTGGTATAAACAGGGTTATCATACTTAAATGGTAAGATGATTAATTTAGTAATGGAACTTTTGGGGGGAATTTTTTTAATTACAAGAAAACTCTTCAGACATTTTAAAATTATTTTAAGAATATGATTAAAGTGCATTTACAAAACTGTACATGAAATTTTATTCCAAAATAATGACATAAAACGTATATACTGCTTCACAAAAGAGTGAAGATATATACATGTTATAATGCAATTAAGATGTAACCAATTTGAATATATTGAAACCTAATCGAATATCAATAATTGACAATTTTGACATCCCTAATTAAAAAGGCAATGATATTTATCATATATGCTAATCAAAGTACCTTTTGGGTGAAAAAAAAACTTTTTGAATTTAATTAATATCTTTAGGGTTATGAAATAAACATTTAAAGATCACAGCTGATTGCACTGTGTAAAATGTTCAGATAACTGAAGTCATGCACTTGCTGTACCATAAAAACAAAAACATGCATCCCATATATGCTAGAATTAGTTTAAATTGCTTTTCAACTAATAAAGAAAAAAATCAAAGACACTAAGCACGTTTATTGAACTACCTGTTCAAAGCTCAAATAATTTCACACAATTTTAATGAGCACCAATTTGCTTGAAACCTAATTACTTGGCAACATCCAATATTTTTATTATTGCTAATCAATTTCTTAATTTTTACATCGCTTGATGAATTGAGGTTTTACGTAATGCTAATTTAGTACTAGAAATTTCAAAGATCTACACTGTTCTAGTGAGGCAAAATGACTGAATTGTCAAACAGGCAGACAAACAGACAGGATCATACAAAGAGATGATGGCATTTATCAACACAATAAATTTAGCATTAAATTAATATATTAAGTGATCACTTGTTCAATTTCCAAATTTTAAATATCTTTAAATTTTCTTTCTTTTTAAACCCATTGAACTACCCAGGCTAATGTGCTTGTCTTAGATTTCCAACTGATGGCAAAATTAACTTATTGAGAAATACTGGAATGCTCAAAATGAAGAAAATTATTTACAAATGTGGTAAACTTAAATACTTGAGTAAGCTTTTGGCCAACTTGCCATCTCTATCTTAGAGGTGGAAGAAAACTAATGTTTATATTGGGCTTTACATTAGGTTCTTAATTACAATCAACAACTACTTAGTAGATTTGGATCTATATATAATATATGGAATAAAAGAAGTCTTTGCCCTTAAATTGCCTTGTCCTTTTTTCAGGTGTCTTTACATTGCGTTAATTCATACTTTCTAGATCTTTGCTTACCTGAGGTGGAATAAAATGCTTTGCTTTTAACTGGTATTCTTGCTTTTGTTTTAACTGGAAAGAAGAAAGGATAATGATAATTAAAACATGGTATAAAACATCTTTTGCATAGCAAAATACTGAATCAAGAATAATACAATACCATATAATCCCTATTAACCGCCCCGTGCGCTTATAAAATTGCAAAAAGGGGGCGGTTATTTTGGTATTCTCTTTACAATATTTAATGTCATATTTTAACTTCAGAAAATCTTTTGAAAAAAAAAATAAATTCAAAGAACCACTTAAATAATATCTAACTTTACTGTAAGTGAAGATAATCCACCCAAATTATGCTAAATGATTCATTTTCCACCAAGAAATGAGATAATTATAGAGAAGTTTCATTATCACTATCTTAAAATTTTGGCAGACTTTTGATACGATTCTAGATGATTTTAATCACTGTACAGGGGGCCCTTATTTCCTGAAAATTGAAAAAGACCTTTTTTTTTAAAAGGGGCGCTTATAGGGACAGGGGCGGTTAATAGGGATTATACGGTAGTGAAAATATACTATTCATTTTGGTAGTATCTTGGATATATCTATCACTGAGAAGGTCAAGACATCCAAAAATTAATGCAATACAGTTAAACTTGGATATCTCAAACATTGCTAACTCAAATACCATGGGTAAGTTGAAGTGATCTGTAACTCCCAAATACCCTTTCTTTAATATATATTTTTACTTCAAATCTCAAATAATTGGATATCTCAAATATATTTCTTGGCCCCACCAATTCAGGGAGAATGATGTTTGACTGTACATCATGGTAAATGCATAGGAAGAATTTCTTGGCTTTGAACATAGGTCAAAACAATGCAGTATTGACTCTGTTTCATAATATGGCAATCTATTTCCAATCACTTCCTCTGTAGTAAACTTCTGTGTGATAACCATGACACAATAATTGTGTTCTATCAGAAATCTAACCCCTTATGCCACGTCTGCCAAAGTCAACAAATAAATCTCCAATGACGTCATATATAGACAAGTCAAACTCACACTTTATATACACTATCTTGTCAAAGCAACTAGAATTGATTTGATATTTTTTGTAGTTGCAGTGCAGTCATTTAGCAAACTTTATTGAAAATGTGTCAATTTTCTTCAAACTCTTATGTAACTGCTAATATCCTTTGAAGGGCCTGTTTGGTCCTTTTGAGAGAATGTTTGGAAAAGAACTTGAGAATTGAGCAAACTAAGCTTCATTTATAGAAGGGGAACCAATTTTATATCCAAATATGAATCCTTGCCAAATCAGAGCCTCTTAATGCATGTATCAAAGCCTTTTATAGGAGTTCTTGCCAAGGTTAAAATGTAATATATTACAACAGGGAAAAAAGTCTTCTACACAGTGTATTCAAGAAATCATAAAAAAGTTTAATGTGGCAAACATAAAAGTTTCTCATACATCACATTTAAATGCACCGTCAGGGACCAAATTTAATTTCTATAGATTAGTAAAGCCACATTGCATTAGTGAGTATGTTAAAAAATAATTTATGTTCAGACCTATACCTTTTAACAGATTGATTTTTTCAACCCTTACATGTCTTTACACTGTGAAATATCACATAAAAATCAGTTTTATCTTTGAAATATAATGGACCCTAACCAGTCATTTCAACTTTCCTGTAGTTAATACACACTATAGTTCGCAATGGGTGGATCACAAGGGAGGTATTCATGCAGCAAATGAAAGTCTGTCTGACAAAATGGATCATTGAGCCAGACACAATGTTTGGGTAGGCATTGTGTTCAACTGATAATACTTTTTTAAAACTTGCAATGGCTTTTGTATATAAAAACCTATCATAATTGCTGATCTTTCCAAAGCACTGTCATGCAAACAAGGGTAGATTTGTAGAAACAATGAGGTACTTAAATTACAGTGCGTTTCATCAAAATTTGCAACTTCAAGTCTGAACTTGATTCCTTTTTTTTCCACTGTACATGTTCTTTGACATTTTGATTTGTTACTTTTAACCTTTTTGCAATGCAAAAAAAACTTACAGCTGCAACAAAGTTTACAAAATTATTCTTAAAAACTTCTCCATTTATGTACATCAATCCCTAATTGTTACCCGAATGGTATTTTTTTTTTTTTCCTTCAATGCATGGCGAGCTACCTTCAATTCATATTACAATGCAATATCATCTGGCTCTTGCCCTATGTTACTGGGATAAAGTGGTATAATGCTTATTAGATAAAATAAATAGCGACTAGACATTTAATTATCGATTTAATAACACTTATTCATACGCAAAGCTTAGAAGATAAATATTAAAGATTTCAATGACAATAAAGACACCTTCACGATCCATTCAATATTTACATACAAACGGCAAGCACTATCAAAAAAGGGCAATTCGATATTTTTTGCTATTCAGTGATATTTGGGAAGTATCGTTGTTCCACTTAATTATATATATGTACCTATAAGTAAGGACCATTACCTAGATTCCTGGCAGGCTTAGTAATTAGAAAATGGCTATTTTTTATCTGAACAGACCGAAGGTTTTTGAGGTTTCTAAATACAGAGGCATACACCACTGTTTACGAAATTGACCAGCTTACTGGTGACCAATATATCTGTTTACCATTTATAAATTAAGTTTGGAAGTTTGAATTGTTTTTTTTGATTGTATTTTTGATTTGTTTGTATTAATACCAAATTAATAAATACTTTAGTTATATGGATGGTGGATCTAAAATATCACAAAGCATCAAGTTTGAAGAATGTAAAAATATTTAAAAGATTGCATTCATGCTTTATAATGGACGGGTCTTAATTTATAATGCAACCTATAGAAGAATGAAATGTTTGGATAACAAAAATCATTTCCTCAATAAAATTTATGTGTCATTATGCATAGTTTGTCATTCAGCCTAAAGATTTTTAGCAAAATCATCTTCAAACATGGATATTAAAACAGTGTAAAACAATAATTATTTTCTCTCTCAATGTACACAGCTAAAACATACTGCTAGAAGGAGATTTTCAGCAAATTTAGAAACATATTATGCTATAAATGACAAAAAACATGAAACCTACTGATCAAATTCCTATAAAACTCTGCCCAGAATTTCATTAATTGAATGACCAAGGGTGCATACCTTTTGATATACAACAGTGTGTCTTCTACAAGAGATAAATGATCAAAGTGGCAGACAGGTCAACCAATATATATATTGCATAAAGAGAAAGGATCAACCCAATGCATTGTGACACACTATAGGAACAGAGATCAAACCGCAAAGGTGGGTGGTTTGGGGGAATTATCATAGAATTTCTACGAATTCCATTACACCTGTGCAAATAATACCCTTTTTTATTCCAATCATCTGCTTGTCTACTTTCTGACATGAAATCATTAAATCAAACTGAGATCAATCATAGCCTCACTGTTTCAATTATAGAAAAAAAAGCTAAATTCAATATCAAAATTTTTACCATGTGAATTTATCATCATAACTAATGCAAGTTTATGTAGCCCCCAAAACATCAGGCTCTTGAGCTTTAGGTAACACAAGTGTTAAACAAACAAAGAACACCCAACTAAAGTGTATGACCCTACTGTAAATGAACAAGTTTACACATCGAACACTCCCATATTGATAAGCCCTCCAAAAACTAAATTAGACCTCTACAATTTTATACCCATATCTATATTCTTGCGTACAGTCGACAAATCATATCTGTTTAAAACATTGCTTGTAAGGTCTGTCTGTGACTAAACATTTAACAGGGTATCTAGAGGCATTAGTTCATAAAAACACCATCATTATCTTGCTTTGCTTAACATAAAATCTATCTTTAGAAGAAACAAGACAATTGACCAAAGTTTATCTTTAAAACTTTAGGCTGAAATACAGCCCACTTGTCTAGGTGTGTGTGTAAAGTGAGCATATATAAATATTTTCCTAACACTTTCTTGATGCAGTTTGAAAAATCACATGTTCCTTTCAAACTAACACTAAATTAGTTAGTGTGAATGTTTGAAAGGAATATGTAAAGAGAGATTTTTCACTGCATATGTGTGCAAAAATTAAATGCTATACATTTCAGCTAATTTATATACCTATAATCTCTGAATGCTCTCTAATTGGTAAATAAATCTGAACTATCTATAAACTTGACTTTTCTAGAACAACCTAAGAGATATTGAAGAAATGTGAAAACATGAAAATTGCCCCAAAAGTGATTTCCATGAAAACATTCTTATTTATAGATGCATAGACAATGTGAATTTATTGCACCAAGATCTTCAAAGAAATTTTGTAGAGGGCCTAACCAAATCAAGGCTTTGTAGTGACACAATATCCAGTATCAAAACATAAATCATTCAGTCTAATTACTAACAAAATATTTAACTGACCTCTTTCAATTACTACAAACTTAAAATTGAGAAGTTGGAAGCAGAGCTTGTGACCCCCTTCTGTGATCTCAAGTAGACACAGAAAGAATTTTATTAACAACCAAACACTGCACAATAGGTTAACCCTATGGCAGCGTGCCTCCCGTTAAGGGGGGTGTTGGTGTTACAATTTCAAAACGGTGCCTAGTACAACCCGTGACCGGGTGTTGACAATCTGAGAGATGACATTCTTTGTTTCCGTTTAATTTGATCCACTAGAGGCGGAATACATCTTCTAGTTGGAACAATGCTTCTCTCATTCCTAGTGCTCAAGATATTTGATCTGCAAGAGCACCTCGGTTTGATGATATCTATGTTTTTTGTAGTATACTGCCCATTAAAATTGTAATTTACCTTCAATATCTGCAAGACTCAAACGATACTTGAACTTCGATGTATTCCCATTCGTGATTTAATTTGTCAAAGAAAATTGAAAATCAACTGATTTTAATTTGTTTGCAGGCCAGAATTGGAAGAATTAGCTTTGGCATTAACAGTTCTGAATGCGGTCTTTAAACAATTTGCCTATAAAATTAGCATTCGTTCTCAGTTTGGCAATAAAAAATCCATTTCTTAGTTTAATTGTCTGCAAACATTTAAAGCCTCCACAATGATCAACCTTTGAATCAAACAAGGTTCAAAGAACAGATTTTTCCTGTACACCCAAAACAAACAATCGCAATACTAAAACCATCCTTTTCACTTGCACTTTAAATGTAATAACTGTACTTTTGAGAAATCGTTGTAAACATTGTTCGTGGGGGAAGGAAAAGTATGACTTAGAGGAAACTAACGACTTACCCTGGTGATAATGCGACCTACACTTTTGAGGAGGAGGGAGGGGGGGGGGAGGAAACGGACGACTTACCCTGGTGATACTGCGACCCACACTTTTGAGGAGGGGGGAGAGGAGGAAACGGACGACTTACCCTGGTGATGCTGCGACCCACACTCTTGAGGAACACAAAATCTCGGGGGAGCATCTCCACCCCCACCTGCTGCTCCAGCTCATCCCGGAGATCGTACAACACACGCTCAGGATGTACCCTGTAATAGACCATCTGATGCTCAGAATTCATAAACATTCTTAGAGGTTAACAGATATCTTATATTTTAAATTATGAAAAATGAATCAAGGAAACTGTGGCCATCCAGTCTTCTAAAGTTATAAGGCTTTCAAAATCCTTGGTATGAACATAGCTCTTAAAGACCCAATTTTTTTACCGTACGGTTACCTGAGGAGGGGGAGTGGTCCAAGTAACAGTGGTGTTATTTACCTGGAGACCCCCAATACCCAAGATGTCAAAAATCTGTGTATACGTAGCATTACACAGGAAGTCTGTGTCTGGTGATCAGGGTCAACATTCCATGTTTCGTGTCTAAATTTGAGTGAAACTACTTGAAATAATTGAAATATTTCAATAGAAAATTTATTTATAAATACTTTCAGCGATATCTAATGAAGAAAAAAGATTATAAAGAAATATCGTTTTTATATTTAAAAAAATGACAAATTAAAGAAAAGAACACAGAGTAAAACTACAAAGTAAATATATCTTTTTTTTAATTAAACTTGTGTAAATATCAAAATTTAAAAAAATAAAATAAAATATTCCATTCATAGGTAGGCCTATCCGTCGTGTGAACATGTACAATGTACCGTACCGCGATAGGAATATTGCCTACGTTCTGAAGTGTCGAAAATATTCACCATTTCCGGGTGTTCTTGTGTTTAAAATTTTTTAATTGTTTGCAAGATTTCTTTTAAGAATTGATCTTTGGCTGTATATATTCACTTTTTAATTTCGAATATTGGGTATTGACTGCAGATGTTAGGAAATTCGAACTAAAAGTTACAATCTCGAAACTCCTACAGCTGTTTCTGACATTTCAGAACTTTACAACGGAACATGGTATAGATTGTATTCATATATGCGCAGATAAAACATGGGATAAATGAATTTTTTATCCGTGCCGTTTGTGCTAAATATCTTTTCTTATTTATCATATTCCAATTTTAATCGGCAAATAGCGTTTCTGTGCACGGACTGGTCTAAATTCTACAACAGATATCTTGGACGACATAAAGTACAATATAGCCGTTGAGATTAAAAGCAAATATTTTAAGAAGTCATGTTTTAATTATCTACTCTCAACTGTTTTTAAAATAAAATTTTACCAAGATTCTTCTTTTAACCCCCCGTGTATACAAGGCGGCTACATGAAAGTGTTTGACGCGTGACCAGGCAATCGTTTTCAAAGGACAGAAACTCAGACTATCAGGAAGCACGGGTAGCTGCCCTGTCAATCAAATCAGAAGCTATTGTTTTTTTAATGATTGACAGGCGGTAAATTATTGATCTTGAACCAGGTAAATTTTGGGGGCGTTAACATAAAATTGGGTGTTTAACACAAAACAACATATGGTCAAACCTCACTGTTTTGAACACAACAGGACCCTAAAAAACTCAGGGAGTAAAATACTTAAAGAAAAAGCCGATGGGACTTCCTAATCTTTTCAGTATATCTATGAATTTCGAGATATTAGTGTTGAGGATAATGAAGTTCAACTGTACTAGCAAAATGAAACAGGGTAAAGACATCAAAACAACAACTATCTGCAGTATCCTGGATGCATGGAAATATTACAGTAGGCCGCTTTCGGTGTTACATGTTACTTGTGTCTGAACAAGAAGTTAAAATGTACATGTAAAGCTCACCTGATAATTCCTGCTGAGATCGTCTCTGTTACATTCTGATTTAAAAAGTTGTTATATCTTTCTCTCCATATCTCTGGTGGTACTATATATACATGGAGATCTACAAGCTGCAAAACAAAACAAAAATTCAATTTATACAATCCTTAGAAATAAATGCTTTTTTATGCCATAAATCACATTTAGCATTAACTTACATACCCTTGGGTGGCCAAGATGCTGAACTGGTAAGTTAAACAGCTTTTGCAAGATCACAATCATTATAAAAGAAATTCCAAGATGATGGAATAGTTATAATTAATTAAAATACATGCACATGTATCTGAAAAACCACCTCATCATGATCTTAATACTTATTTGCCATGTCTCTGCTCAAAACTTGAGAGAAAAAAAGTAATGCAAAAATGAATTGAAAATTCTTTTGAAAAATTCAGAAATATAAACTTGTTGTTTATCTGATGACAGTATGCAGTACCATACTTTTAAACTCAGAATTAGGTTACAATGTAGCAGCAAAAAAGGTCTCACAACAAAATACGAGATATGACAAGGTTTTTGTAGAGTGCGATGGTCTCAATTCCAATATAGCTTCCCATGTTCTCCAAAGGATTAATTATTTAAGTAAAAGTTTCTCACTTAATGAATTATGTTCATTAAAAAGTCTCCTAATAAAAGATTAAATATGAAATGGAACTTTTTTAAAAATCAAGTTGATTGTGTAGGTTTTAGTTAAGGTCATGCAAACCACATCAGAGTAGAGTTTCTTGAGTAGAGGGACTCAACTAAATATTAATTAAAAAATTGTTTCTGGTACAGAACTACAAAACAATTTCAACTTTAAAAAAAATGTGGTCAAGAGCTGTATATATTTTATTGGGTAATTCATTGATAAATAAGGTAACATAAAGTAAATCGGAAATAACAATACAAATTGCAACTTCTAGTTCAATTCTCATCCATATATTAATATCGTTGATAAAATTAATCTAACAGAAATAGTTATTTTCTTTCAGGTCTCATGTTTAAAACACCAGTCTAAAGGAGATCTATAAAACCAAATACTCAAATTACATTTAACAGGTTCTAAAAACCTTCAAGAAATTTTGGGTATAAAGTATTTGCATGTGGAAATTTAAATACTAGGTTAGGTTCTATGTGTAAATGAAGATTATCAAACAAAGTGTAACTATTTAAATAAAACAGGTGGGCTTCACTGTTGGTTTCCAAGTTACTTTATTTACAAAATAAACAATGGGTAAATAATCATTCAGAAGTTTTAATTTGGCAACTACCTACAGAATGATTAATTTTTTTAATGTCCTAATTGAATCTGAAGCTATAAAGTGAGAATCAACATCTGATCATATAGAGGGGTACCAAAAAAGAACTATTGGGTTAATTCTGTCAATTTTCCCCCCTGATTCTAAAACTGCTAGTTTCAAGCATAAGAGAAAGAATAATGTATATGCCCAGTTTATCATGGTACATGTGTAATTTATTTGATGTTTAACCTGTGTTAATCCAGTGAAATTTAAATGACGTGAATAAATACGTAAGCCTCTAAGTCTATTAGACCCTTAATCTGCATTTATACAAAAAGCTCTGATGTAACAAGTCTAGAAAAATTCTGAAATCATGAAGAAGTCATTTTGAGGAGTATATCACATGCTAGTGTTGTGGATAAATACAAGAGGCCCACGGGCCTTATAGGTCACCTGAGCATTTATGCAACAACTTTCCAGTTATTGAATTTGATTCCTGTTTTAAGCCAGATGCTATATGGCATTCACAATTTTGAAAGAGGCACCATTGATCATCATAACAATAGACTTAGCAGTTGCTTAGCTTGGTTACTGAATACCCATACGCAGGGTAGGGGGAACAAAAATGCATTCCAACTAATCAGTAATATTCAGCAATAAGCAGTACTGCCCCTAACACTGTGACATAAATCCCTGACCCTAGGTCCACATATTACACAAATTTTAAAAAGGCACCCTTAAAATTGCCTATCAAAAAATAAATAAATGTTTTATAAATACGAAGGAGCAGATTTCAAACAATTAATTCATTTTCAGTATATAAGTCTGAGAGCCCCCCACCCCCCATCCTTGACCCTGGGGCCTTGAAATTCACAATTCTGCAAGATTAGGGCCCTTGCTCATCATAACTATATAGGTAGTACATCTGCTTCATACCCAGAGACAGAGAAGAAAATTTTCAAAGATTTAACGTATTTTCACTATATAATCAATAGAGCCCTGCCCTAACACCAGAATCCCTGACCCTGGGGCCATAAAGTTCATAATTTTAGAAGAGGCATTCTTGCTCATCATAACTATTTTCTTAGTATATTTAATTCTTAGGAGCAGAGAAGAAGATTTTCAAAGAATTCATGTATTTTCAATATATAATCAAACGAGACCTGCCCTAACACCAGAACCCCTGACCCTGGGACCATAAAATTCACAATTTTGGTTGAGGCACTCTTGCTCATCATAACTATGCACTTATTTAATTTATTCAATACCTAGGAGCAGAGAAGAAGATTTTCAAAGAATTCATGTATTTTCACTACATAATCAATAGAGCCCCCCCCCCCCACCCCACACCAGAACCCTTGACCCTGGGGCCATAAAATTCACAATTTTGGTAGAGGCACTCTTGCTCATCATAACAATGCACTTAGTTAGTTTATTTAATACCTAGGAGCAGAGAAGAAGATTTTCAAAGAATTCATGTATTTTCACTATATAATCCATGGAGCCCCCCCCCCCACCTCCCCAACACCAGAACCCTTGACCCTGGGGCCATAAAATTCACAATTTTGGTAGAGGCACTCTTGCTCATCATAACTATGCACTTAGTTAGTTTATTTAATACCTAGGGGCAGAGAAGAAGATTTTCAAAGAAATCATGTATTTTCACTATATATAATCAATAGAGCCCCACCCTAACACCAGAACCCCTGACCCTGGGGCCATAAAATTCACAATTTTGGTAGAGGCACTCTTGCTTATCATAACTATGTACTTAGTTGGTTTATTTAATACCCAGGAGCAGAGAAGAAGATTTTCAAAGAAATAATGCATTTTTACTATATACTTATTTAGCCCCGCCCTAGCACTAGAACCCCTGACCCCAGGGCCATGAATTTCACAATTTCTGTAGAGGACTTAATGCTGATTACAATCATGCAAACAGTTTGACTGCTTGATGTCCAGGAGTAAAGAAGAAGATTTTTAAAGATTGCATTAATTTTAGTGGTTTTGGCCCCATCCCTCAGGCCCCAGGGGGGCAGGGATCATGAAATTCAAAATTTTTGTTCCCCTTCACCCATAGATGCTTTGTGCCAAATTTGGTTGAAATTGGTTCAGTGGTTGCAGAGAAGAAGCTGAAAATGTTCAAATGTTAACACACGATGGACGACGCACGACGACGGACGAAAACGGATAGCAATAGGTCACCTGAGTTTACTCAGGTGACCTAAAAACTTGGACTCAAAAGACATCATGCTAATCTGAAGTCTTCAAGTGCTTCAATCTAAGTTATAATAAAGGTGTGGAGAATATGTGTATGTTGATCATTATAAAAATCATTGAATGACTAAAGGCCTTGAAAATTTCTATAAACAAAATTAATGGACCAATCAACCTACATAGCTAATGTCTATATAAATGATAAATTGCTCTAAAGAGAATTTATCCTTTCTAAAGAGTCCAGTTGATGTTCTAATGTTTACCCAGAAATTAAGACTAATCTTTGGCCACTATTGACTTCTTCTGAATGTTTAATCATATCTTGAGGTATATATAAAAGTCTACTAAGAATGTTTGGACAAAATTTTTGTTCAATGGCTTAAGAACCTCAATCTGGACAAGGGCCTTGCTATTCCAGGACTATTCCTGACCAGGGAGACGGCCTTAAGATTACCTACTCAAGAATCATCTCTAGATAGATCCTGTATCTGTTCTCAGTACTGTCAAAAAGGCATCTTTATTCATTAATCATTACAAAATGACGGGGAATTTGGATTTTGAAAAGTTAATCACTAAATGTATTGAACATGTCTTCCCTGTCAAAGGTGTATACCCGAGTCTCTAGTTAATAACCAAAATTTATAAACAAATGCTTCAGGACTGATCTGCCAGATTTAGGGAAGGAACATGTATACCCAAAAATCTTAATCCTCATAGAAAACATCAAAAGTACTCCAAGAAATATTTCCTGAAATTGCTTTTAGTATACAAGTACCTCTGTTGACGAAGGTCTTTTGAATGTTTTATATCTTTCCATCAAACTCATGTTGGATATGACTTTCTTCCGAGACAATTATTTTTCCTTTTTCAAATTATCCTCGAATAATCTCCAAAGAACAAAAATCCCTTTTTTCACACTTATCCTTAACCTTTAGTGGCAAAAATGAGCACACATAGTATTTCCTTTAAATCCATACCAGGAATAAGGAATATATCACTTATCCGAAGTTAACACCTATAAAATCAGCAAGTACACACAGTTAAACTAGCCCTGGAATACAAAAGGCTTATGGTCTTTCCTTAATGGGTCTTGGTTGCTTGCTTTGCCCCACAATCATTGAATATAAAAATTTGATAGCTTTCCTTGTCTTAAAATACTTCTACACTGGAAATAGTGCCGGGGATATAAACAATGTTTGTATAAAAACACACATAATCCTGGATTCAGTTACGACTTTGTCAGATTCCAATACAGCATTTGCTTGTCCGTAGAAATTGAGCTTAGGATATATTGAAAAAAATTCCTCTCCTCCCTTGTATGTCTTATTCAATAAATTCCTGCTGGAACATTCCCCTGGCAAGCGAAAGCAAGCGCTTATTGATACAAAATCACCATTCACCTAAGGTATAGATTGCAATGTTTGTTTTTAGTTATATATGGGTGGATAAATGAAGAAAAAAAATCCAATGCTGTTAAACAGTTTGCTACTGGTGATAGTAATACTTCCACCCTTTTTCAAAAGAGAGTGAATGGTACCATTAGTCGAGATGGATAATCTGTTGGTTTAAAAATTCAAAACATACACTGGGTGCAAAAAGCAATGTGTAATTGAAGTATTGACAACTATATTGCTAATATTAAATAGTTACACAATTATAGATTTAATCCTCAAGATCAATATGAAGAATTTTTTTTAATGAGACAATGACTGACTGATTAAACATTCAACAGACCTGGCTCATTAAATATCGTATGAATAGAGAGATTAAGGATTTATCCTGTGCCAAACCTGTGAGGTTGTTTTGATTTTTAGGGATGAGTTCAAAAAACTTATTTGCTTCTAAAAGCACTCAGCATAATTTCTAATGGAAAAATGTATTTTGATGGTTATTTCAATACCTTAACACACAAATGTACAAGCACTGTGTCCTCAATTAATGAATACAGTAAATCTCATAGGACAAAAATTTCCACTCAGGGGACTTATTTTTCCAGAGAAAAACCCCATGGGCATAAAAACATTGTTGAAGAATATTATTTCAAATTAAACCCCCCCCCCCCAAGTCACTGAACCTTAATATCTGGATTTTCTGTGGGACTCGCAGAAAATTTTGATGCATGTGAGGATTCATTTAGATTGGAGGTTATATCATGAGGGAAAGTAGTTGGAACTTCATGCTCACTTCAAAAATTCAAAATACCAATTTTCAAGATACCAAAGTACAATTGTAATTTTCTTTTTTCCAGTGTATCTGTACAAAATTTTGAGGCTGAAGAGGCACAGAACACTACAGATTATTACAAAAAGGGCTTCCAGCTTCTGCAACTCTCTAATGGGAAGTTAATGGCTTGTTATTACTCCCCCTCAAAATAGGGTGAGTAATACTGAGCCATCAACTTCTCAATAAAGAATAGGATTCTGCATACCACAAATACAGATATGGAATCTGCATAGTCTGGAAGCATTTTATATAATCTGCATTTATTATCATTTGATTCTATTGCAGATGCACTATATAATTTCAAACATTTGAAAATTCAAAAAAAAAACAATTCATTGAACCATATTAAGTTTGTCTTTATTTTAATTTCATTTTGGCACTTAGGTACATGTACGATACCTTCAGAAGATAAAATCTCTAAAGATCCTGACCTATAGATATATTGATAAATTAATGCAAAGATCCTGTGACTCCATATGTGGTATGTCGCATCAAAGGTCCCAAGGGCTTCACTTTAATAATTATAGTTTCTGTATTTATTTCTTTGCACTCAAAGCTTTTTGTTCCATGCAATACATGCTGTTGTCAATATGTTAACTTTTTCCCCTAATGCTGGGTGCCTAGCTCATGCTCTTTGCAATCTTTTAAAATAAAAAAACTTCCCATAGGCCATAATAAAGATATTCCTAGATTCTCATCCCCGCCCGCCCCGATTTTATACCCCCGCCTCGATTTTTTTTATTTCTGTTTTTCTTCGTCTTAATTCTGATCGGGATCGGTATTCATCTACCATTCTACTTTCGTTTTAAATCCTGCGAAAGTCGACATGATTTTGACAGCTGAAAAGATGGTAACTGCTGTAATGCATGCGTATATATTTTAAACAAGGGTCATTGGTTGAAAAAGATTGGTGATGATGTGAAGGAAGAGATAATTGAACCTTTACTATGACTTTTATTCGGGGTATTGTAGATAAAATTACAACGATTTACCTGAGGTCAATAATCAATCTGCAAAATTGAAAAAATAAAAAATGTAAAATAAAAGCCGCCCGCCCGCCTCGATTTTTAAAAAAATTCGGATGAGAATCTAGCAATTTATTTATTATGGCCATACCATGATACTCTTTACATTATTCCTTTACATTCCCCCCCCCCCCTCCCAACAACCACCAAACACATTTCAATCATTGTGGGGTCAAGCTGCTGTATCATTGCCTATTTATTCCTTTGATAAAACTTAACAAACAAAAATATTTAAATACGCTTCTAATTTCAACAACGTTTTGTTTTACTCTAATGCACACCTCTGAGGCTTTAGATTAGAAAAGTTCACATATATAGTCTTCCCTCTGTGCATTCATTGAATTTCAACTGAGAGTCCAAAAAATCCCTTATATAAACTATAAAGGTGTAGAATAAAAAGGAAAATAAAAGGACCATAAAATTCTATATTTACTCAAAGAATTAAAAAATTGGAGCGATGAAGTGTGTCTTTTTTTTTTTTCAAAGCCAAAAAAATCTATGGACTTCTGTATGTCTTGATGACCACTTGAACTGATCCGAAAATTAGAATTTAAAGGTATACCAGTAAAATGTTTATCGGTTGCCATGGAACTTATGGCCAAAGGAGGACTCAGTCACCTTTTAAAGCAATTTACTTAATGTGGTATATGAAGTATTTTACTTTGTAAATGAGGCATACTAATTCCAGACACCCTTCACAGTGAAGTTAGTTGATGGTATCTGAAAATTAATCCTTCCCTCAAGGTCTTTTAAAGATTGCTTTTATTGAATTTTCAAACATCTGACAGTAATCTGTATGAATTTTAATTTTTTTTTTCCAAATAAAGGATACAAGTTTCTAATGGAACCATACACTGCTTATGATATCTGATTTCACAAGATTATGTATGTATGTCAAACAAATGAGATCTATATATCATATATATAAATCAAAGATTAAATTACATTGAAAATGTGAAGTTAAAAGCAAATAAGATTAACCTCATGGTCAAAAAATGAAACAGCAAGAAAATGAAAAGAAGCAAGTTCCTTCTGTATAAATTTGAAGCTTTGAGTAGGCTTCCTAAAATGGCATCTAATATGTACTTTATTTTGAACCAACAATTCCAACAGACAATTAACTTAACACTGAAAAAAGTTCTCCATGTGTCTGCAGAACTTCCTGGCAACCTTGGAAGTTAGAAAGCGGTAAATTATCTTTGAAATTCCACATTAAGTTAAAGGCAAAGATCAAAAATATTTATTGGGCATAAAATGACCATAAAATATTTTTTTAGTAAATTTAAGACACTAGATGCTGGCTTTGATCCCACATAGCCTGTGCACAGAAATTTACCTAAATCAAACTAACTTTGATTTCCACTGATCAATAATAACTTTATTAATCTAAAATCTCTCCCTTTCATGGGGTCCATGTTGGTCTATTAAATTTTCCAATAATTTATAATACTGCATCTTGTAATTTGAACATTTCTCATAATTGCTAACTTTAATCATCAGATTTTAAATCATGCACCCAAAAGTTGCAGAGAGAAATAACTTTTTTTAATGATTCATCACTGTTTTTGTAACATCATTATTTCTGAAATCATTTATAATTATAGACAAAAAATTGGAATTTAAATTAACAGTTATTGCAGTGAAACATCTGAACATTAATAAAAATGTTTATGTAAAAGTATTATACAAGACAAAATCAGAATTTTATAAATTAATAGAACAATTTATCATAGAGATTAATATCCTATTCCCTTCCAAGTAACTGAATATTTTTCATCACTTATATATACCGCTAAGCTGTTGACAGACAAATTAAAATGACAAATTACACTCTATATAAGCAAACTGTCCTTTCCTCACACCTAGAGATAGAGGAGAGACACTTGAAAATGATCCAGAGACCACCAGAGTCTATAAAATTAGTACAAATCTTAGCAGTGCACCACGGGAGTTTGCTTTGTTATTAAACCATATGAAGATTTGTTTAATTTCAAATAAAAGAAAATGCAGTTGAAATTTGGTACCTTGAACATCGATTTCTCAAGTACATGTACCAGTTATATGTCAAAGTGAGTTGGAAATCCTAATTTTACTTTTCTTCATGGGTTTGAACCTTAGTATCTGAGATCCTTGGGTATTGCTTGAAACTTTGGGGAGGGAGGGGAGGGGGTCCCATTGAGTTAGAGATAATGATAGAAGCTTGACTTTTGATGAATACAGAAATATGATAAATGGGATTACAGAATTAGATTAGCTGAAGATTTGTTTAATTTTGGGAAAAAATACATACAAATGTATAATAATAAATACAGAAACAAATATACTATATTATGCCTGTATGCTTTTACAGTCAACCAATGTAACAAAAAATTGTACAGACTTGAATGTTGACTTTGATATTTACTTCTTTTTAAAGATACAATAAAATATTGGGGTCTTAGACAGCTTTATTTGAAGGGAAATATTTGTTTTTGTCATTAATATAAAATTTATAAGTACAAATACATTTTTGATTCTTATAAAATGATGATCTGACAATATCAACATAATCAGGAACATAGCAATAGATCTCTGTCGATATCAGATTATCATTTTTAATATCAGAAAATTTTATCTGAAGATCGTTTGTAAATATGATGTCCTTCATAGTTTCCCATGCATGTTTGAACAAACATAAAATAATCTTCTAAGGAAAATTTTTACCACTACCAGGACAAATTTAATTAATACTGTATTATACGTATTTTTAAGGTTTTTGTTAATTTAAAATCCAAAATAGACTATAGAAACAATTCGTGTGCATTCTTACGCGACAAGCTGTTTTTTATTTAAAGCTTCTGTCAGGGACATTCATGTAACTAAGAATATAAACTGTGGTTTAAAAACGTGCATTTGAATATTTTTCTGAAGTAAATATATCTTTTAAAGATAAATAAAGAATATTTTCCTACACATATTTATTTACACGCTTTTCAACAACTTATAAATGGAACAATCAAATAATATGTATTCATTTAGCTTTAGTTTGATTACACCATGCTGATTTTTATATAAAGATTGCGACACAACATGCAAAGTTGTCAACAAAGTTTTTTTCAGTTTCGGAAACTTTTTTTTCTTACCTCTGCCGACGTAGGTCTAATTTCTCTACTGCTTCCTCGGTAGGAAGTGTATCCGTTAGGCCTACTCATCTTTTTAGCACCTGTCACATTCTGATATTCGTACTATCCATGCCGTATTTCACTCCATTTAAAACTCGTATGTACAGGTAGATAACCTATGCACGGCGTATTGTTTCCAAGTTGAGGTCACATGACTTCCGTTTGGTTACGAACACCAACGGGGGATAACTCTACCTGTAAACATGACATTTTCACTCGCGTAGGCTACTTGTTTTCTCCAGTCACTTTCACTCTCTTTACAATCTTTTCTACATTGCTTTGAATTTTAGGATTTTAAACATTTTTTCCCTTGTGCAATTTGTGCGAATTAATTAAACCTAATAGAACCTTGTCCTCCCTTACGGTGCAATACCAAAAGTGCAGTTTCCTAGCTTAAAAAATACCCAAAATTGTAGGTTTCAATATCATAAAATTGAGAAATATAATTGAACGGACCCAATTATGTTCTCTAAATAATATATTCACCATGTCGATCATTCATCATGAATGATCATTTACCAAGCCAAGGTACTGTAGCGGAAAAAGTTGCTGAAACGGGAATAGAAACAAGAGTTATTCCCCTTTAACCATACACAGAGCAATAAATAGGCCTATGCCTTTGATTTATTATTTTTATTTCTTGATTTAATTTACTCAAAGGAAAGAATGGTCTGTTTAGGGTGTAAAATAACTACTAGTATTTTGCAAGAAATTATCTGGTATGTAAAGGAATCACAATAACCCATTGTGCGATTTTATCTAATCTGTATATTGAATGATACTGGACTTTCTTATGTCTTACTAACTTGCTGAGCAATAAATGTACAAGGAAACAAGTTTGTATACACTGTACGATAAGTTAAAACTAAACTTTCTTTGGTACGTCTCGCAAAGAAGGTCAATGGTCAGGGTCAAGTGCACTTTTAAAAATTTTTCGAAAAATTTGAAAAATGTGCAAAACATAAAATCCCTATCTTTGACAGTTCTCGAGATACAAGATGTGACAGACGAACAACTAGACAGACAGACAGGTAAACTGATCCCTTAGTGCCACTCTGCTCTGCAGGTGACACAAAAATATCGCTAGCTGAGAGAGTCTCTACTTTATTTTGATATATGAACTGGGAAAGAGGGTAATATATAGTCAATTGTCAGATATTAGACTTTTATATAAGACAATTATGCATAAGGTGAGCCTAGCTCTTTGTATATGATAGTATAGTGTCATATACAACTTTTTTTTTAAATTGAAAATGCATTTTTTTAGAGGACACTAGTACACTGTCGCCTCTCATTTAAGGGTACATCGTAGGGTGATATGGATGTTAATTTAAAAAGAAATTAATTGAAATCATATTTACCCAAGGATACTTATCAAGTTTGGGTGAAATTGGTCCAGTAGTAAGGTAGAGGGGAGGATGAAAGTGTGAAGAGTTAACAGACGAAACAAGACGAACGAAAAACGGTAAACAGATAGACGGATCAGGAAAGCACATTTCACATTTTGGAGCAGTCAAAAAAGGAAAGGGACTGTTCAAAATAAAGCCAACAAGAAATGATACAAACAAAATTTTATTTGATCAATATTTTGCTCGTTTTAAAATTGACATGTCCTACTTTTCTTTGGGGGTTCATCACTCGGGGACCGGAAACAATAAAGATGTACTATAGACAATAAAATTTTATCACCACCAGGGTTAATAGTATTTAAAAGTATTACTGCAAAAACTAATGTTTTTTTCAGAATATCGAAATGTCATTTACCACAGAAGTTGCAAAGTTATTTAAATAATAAAATATATCTATATATCGGGAATGATAAAGAATGATGATATTCCTTATGCTGTGTTTTATGTAACCTTTTTCCAATAAAGATAGAAGATGATGAAATTGAACCTGCGACCAAGTGAAGTGCTAGAGCATCTTATTAGCATTTAATCTGGTTAGACACAACTATTTGTCTTCATTAATAGCAATGTTATTGAATTTGGCATGACGAAGGCGTTTGTGCTACAAAGATAAATGTATCTTGTGATTTTCTTGGTACATATGATACCTAAGTTTCTAGAACTCAATCAATATTTTAACCATTTTGTTTTCTAATACAAGATCTAGAATTGAACTGAAAGAAAATTGGTTAATCATTTACTTTTGTCATCTGAGTCTCCCAGACTGAAGGGAGTTATAGAAGATGAATCTTCTTTTTTTTTTATTGTTTGAAACTTTCGATTGTAAACATATTGGATGCTGAAGGCGCTTCCATGTAAACTGAGTTGAAGATCTTGAGAAAAAAAATACTGTAAGATTTTTCTTCTACAATTCAATTAATTAAAACCGTGTACCCGCATCATATCTGGCTTCATCGGAAGCTATGATTTTAAAACACAACTTAAAATTAAATTATCAAAAAAAAAAAAACAATTCCGCTTTAATATTATATGTCAAATATATCATATATCAAAAATATGCATAAGTACAAACTGTATATTGCAAACGTATGTTCGTGTATTGCATGAATTTACTTCATAATTTATTGAATATCAGAATCGTTTGGCTAACTTTTATCTATGAAATATACCATTCAGTTTTTAAGAAGTTAAATTAAATCTAAAAAAAAAAAATTCATTTTTTTTCCTACAGTGAAATTTAAGTTATATTTACTATGTATATACTTGTATATATAATTTCATCAGCGGATGGACATGAAGTAGTGTCGAGTAGATCGACTTACACAAATGTGGAGCATTATAATAAACAAAAAATAATCACCCTCGCAGTGATAATCAATGGAGATTGTACAATACCGGAAGTGGACAAGGTGGTCAAGTGTTCGGACAGAGAGAAAAAATATTGAATTTGTGGTTCTGTAGAGAGTCCCAGGGGTTCTGTGAGTTTATTGTATCTTAGCATTAAGACTTTGTTTTCAGCTGAACCTATTGATATTACTCATAAGAGGTTTTATGAAACTCGTGAACTGAATTGAAATTCGGCTTTGTTTTTCACGCTTCGCTGCACCACTGGTATGACTTGTGTATGTGACCAGTCCGGTCTGATCTATATATAAACACTGTGGTTGGTAAACTGTGTCTGTGTTTTTTTTACATGGATAACGATTCGAACACTAAACCTGACAAGTGTGATAACAAACGTAGGCGATCAGACATGAGTTCATTAGGCACGGATTCAGAACTATCTCCTAAACGATTGAATGATCATAATTCAAGTCCAATAGCACCTTCAAATAGACCAAATAGTGCAATTAGTGAACTCCAGGGTGTCCCTAAACATAATGTCAATAAAGATAAGAGTGAAGAGACAGTGCACACTCCAGGAAGAGGGACAAATAATCAACAGAATGGTCAAGGTATGCCCCAATATACTCCTACACGTGCATCTGTTCCTGCCCAACAGCGGATGCCACAATATCCATCCTATCCCTCTTCACCACCAGGCTTTCCCATGGGTGCATTTCCTGCATCTCCGCCCATAGATTACCAGATAATGAGTCAAGCTCCACCCTGGGCACAGGTTATGGTGAGACAGGTCAGTGACATTAAGATGAGAATGCAGAAACTAGATCAAATTGAACACGCAGTATTTGACACTCGAAATGCTCTAAAACATATGGAAAAATCTGTACTTGATCTCACAGACAGAGTCAGCGTATTAGAAAATAAATCCAAAAAGATCGAAGACTGTTATTCTTCTCAAAAATCACTAGAGAAATCAATGACCAAAATAAAAAATAATGCATCAAACCAAACAGAGATTATAACAAACCTACAAAACGAATTTGAGAAACTAAAATCTGAGAACGATAAATTAGCAGGCGACAATGCCAAAATCCAAGATGAACTTTTGAACATGAAATGTAATGCCATGAAGGATAATCTGCTTTTTTTCAACATTGAAGAAACAGAATTCGAAAACTGCCGACTACTTATCCAAAATATTTGTAAAAACAACCTGGGAGTTGGAGATGTTGGAATGATGCAGCTTCAAAGCGCCCACCGAATTGGGAAACCGAGTGAATCAAGACCCCGTCCAATTCTGGTGAAATTTAAGAACTTTCACGATAGAGAGGTCATTCGAAAATCCAGCTACAAGCTTAAGGAGACCAATTACAGCATAGGGGAGCAATTGCCACGGGAGTTTCGCGATCGACGCAAACTTCTTCTTCCACAATACAAGCAGGCCAAAGAAAACAATCAGAAAGCACACTTTGTTAAAGACAAATTGATCGTTGATGGGAAATTAGTAGCCCCACGTGAAACCTGCGTTGATGACGACGAATAGGGGTCACAGGGGGGTGATATCAAATGCCGAATATGGAACGTAAATGGCGGACTGGAAAATAAACTAAGTGACAAAAAATTTCATTCTTGCCTATTTGATTACGATATTTGTATACTTCTTGAATGCTGGATAACGGAACACTCCAATATATCTCTTAGTGGTTATTGTGTTCACGCATATCACAGAAAAAAACGTGTCAGAAATCGCACACAGGGTGAAGGAATAGTTGTACTAGTCAAGGACTCGCTTGATCAATTTATTAAAATAAATGAAATATTTTATGACACTATTGTTTGGATAAAAATAGATAAAGTCATTTGTTGGGATAAGAAAGATTTGTACATTGGGGCAGTTTATATACCACCCATTGATTCAAAATTTCATGATATTTACAATTGTGACTTGTTTACTACTCTTGACGAATGTATTACAAAATATACAGAAATGGGCAATGTTATAATTACTGGCGATTTCAATGCAAGAACTGGTTCATTATTAGATTATATTGAAAGCGATACCCTACACTCCGAAATTAATTATCATATCTCAGAAGTGATGACTTATATACCTGATATTGAACTCAATCCAAGATCAACAATGGATAATAAAATAAATACATTTGGTAGAAGGCTTATTAGCATATGTAAATCTTCAAATATTCGCATAGTTAACGGACGACATCCGTCCGATCCAGACGGAAACTATACCTATTGTGGCCCAAATGGGCGATCTGTCGTTGATCTAGTTTTAACAAATTCATTCAACAATATATCGAATTTCAAGGTTTGTAATTTAACCGAATTCTCAGATCATGCACCAATCAATTTTTCATTTCCGAGCATCTTAGGGTTTCAAAAACAGACAAACAATTCTAAAATTTCAAACCGTCTAACTTTCCAAAATTCTACCACAGTGAGATGGCAAGAACAATCCCAAATTCAAATGAGACGAGATCTTATAAACAACTTAGACGCTCTATATTCTTGTGTTGAAGATGAATTCGATGTCAACCAAATTGTCGATAACTTCAGTGAAAAATTAAGCAGTGTATTAGGGAAGTATTGTACAAAGAGTAGCAATTACTCGTGTCCAAAAGACAGAAATGCAGAGGATAAACCTTGGTTCAACCACAAATGCAAAGTCTTATACAATCAATATATATCTGCTTTAGAAGAATATAACAAGTTTCATAGTAAAATAAATTACAATAAGCTTACTAAAACAAAAGGTGAATACAAAAAACTTCAAAAGAAACTTAAAAATCAATACAAAAGACAACAAGGTGATATGGTGCAACAACTGAAGAAAAATAACCCTAAAGAATTCTTTAAACATTTTAGCAAACGAAAGACATCAAACTCCAAAGTTACCTTATCAGAATTTTTTGAACACTTTCGGAACCTTGCTAATGATTCAGCGACTACGTACATTTCGATTGCAAATTATATGGACACCGATAGCCCTGTATTTGAGCTCTTGGACACTGAAATTACCTCAAAAGAGGTTGAAACCTGTATACGCAGACTTAAAACAAACAAAAGCGCGGGAAATGATAATTTAATCAACGAATACTTTTCCGAGTTCAGTGACATACTTCTTCCTATTTTAAAGAGCCTTTTTAACAAAGTATTTAATTCCGGTATATTTCCTTCTTCGTGGTCGAAAGCAACTATTATTCCAATATATAAAAAAGGAAAAACGGATGACCCCGGAAACTATAGAGGCATCAGCATCACAAGCAGTCTGGGAAAACTTTTTACTTCAATCCTTAACGAAAGAATAATGAAATGGAATATCTCAGAAAATATTATAACTGATGCACAATTGGGATTTCAGGCTGGGCGTTCAACTACTGACGCGATATTTGCTCTTCAAAGTTTAATATCACAAAAGTTGAATAATAAACAACGTTTATATTGCTGTTTTATCGACTATAAAAAGGCATTTGATACAATCAACCGGGAAAAATTATGGTATATATTGATCAAATTGGGAATCACCGGAAAATTCCTTGAATTATCCGATGCTCTATGTTGATGTACGCGCCTGTGTCAAAAATGCAGGAGAGATATCCGAAAATGTAAATACCGGGTTGTTGCAGGGGGAAGTACTATCACCGATATTATTCAATATGTACGTTAACGACTTGGAAAATCATTTCATAAACGATAAATGCCCAAGTGTAGAATTAAGAGAACTAAATCTTTTTGTTTTAATGTTCGCAGATGACACAGTAATATTCGCTAACACGCCAGAAGAGTTACAGAACTTGCTTGATGCTTTACAAGGATACGTATCATCATGGAATTTGACCGTGAACACCGCAAAAACCAAAGTTTTAGTATTCAGGAAAGGGGGGTGCGTTAATTTTTCATGGACGTACAATAATGAAGTTTTAGAAATTGTCAATTCTTTTAATTACCTTGGATTATGTTTAAACTACAACGGTAAATTTAATGTTACGCAAAAGAAATTAGCTGAACAAGGTCAAAAAGCTCTGTTTGGTCTAAACCGTAATATTCAGAAATTTGAATTTAACGCCGAAACCCGCTGTCAGCTATTTGATACATATGTTGGCAGCATTTTATCGTATGGTAGCGAAATCTGGGGTTTTCATAAATCTCCAGAAATTGAAAGACTGCATTTATCCTTCTGTAAAAATACTCTTGGTGTTAAGCGCAATGCATGTACTTACATGATTTATAGAGAATTGGGACGATATCCACTTATTATTCAAAGAAAACTAAGAATCATAAAGTTCTGGTGTAAATTATTAAAAACAGAAAACTGCATTTTAAAATCGTCATACGAGTACCTGCGACATGATGCAGAGAATGGGCCGGGAACAAGCACAAGTATAAATTGGGCGCGTGAAGTAAAGCTTGAATTATTTAGGTTGGGTCAGGGAGAATTTTGGATTAATCAACAAGTAATAAACTCTGCTAATTTCATGCATATATATAAAAACAGACTACTAGATATACATCTCCAAGAATGCAATGCATTTATGGATAATTCGTCAAAATGTTTTTTATATAAGCACATTGTCCAACCTGACTTCTGTAAAATGCAACCTTATTTAACAAAACCTTTACAAAGTAATTTAAAAAAGCATATTTCCCGCATAAGACTTTCATCGCACTATTTAAACATAGAATGCGGAAGGTACCAAGGCAAAAGCAGAAATGATAGAATATGCGATGTTTGTGATAGTCATCAAATAGAAGACGAATTTCATTTCATTTTCCAATGTCCTAGATATCTAAATCTAAGAAAAAAATATATAAATGAGTATTATTACAAATCACCAAGTACATTTAAATTAATCCAATTATTAAGTACAAACCGCATATCTACTTTGGTTGGTCTAGGGAAATATATTCAACATGCTCTAACATTACGTAACGAATATTTATCAGGTTGACTTACATGTAAGTTCTCTATATTTATGTCTGTAATCTGTATATCAAAATAGCATGGTTGTATATTGTACTCTATCTTTGAATAATACTGTACTGCTAATTTCAAATTCATTATAATTGTATCATATAAATGATGATTGGAACTGTGGGACTGAGGAACACTTGACCTGGGGTTTTACCCCCCAGTTTAGACTCTTTGAGAGTCGATTGTATCATATGTTGTATGTATATTTGTCATTTTGTAAACTGATGGGCTGTATTGCCCAAAGTTGTATCCTGAATAAACTTATACAACATATTTTGTGGAAGTAGTCAAAACTGTGTCAAGATTACTGTCGGACGGATGGAAAGACAGACGAATGCTGGAAATAGACAATCTATGAGGCGCATTGATGGTATTTACTGATAAAAAGTGATATCACTTATTTGAATAGGTGATATCACATATTCACTTGGTGTTATCTCCTATTCAAATATGTGATATCACTTATTCAAATTATTTATGACATAACAACTGCTCCAAAGACTATAGGGTCCCTAAGTCTTATTAACTTTCACCTCGTTTTATAACTCATCGTTTTTGGAGAGAATGGATTACAGCTTCGCAATGCATTTAGTTTTAAGCACCCCGGTAGAACTTGTAGTTTGTTTTGCTTATGGATTATATTTTAAAAATTTACACTTATCTATCATGCATATTAGAAGAAAAATCGTGAAAAATTCTGGCATAAATGCTCCATTCAGAAAGTGCTCCAATTCACATTTAAAACTGAAAAGAGAAAATGTATGCTACTCTGTTACCCCAGCTGGGAAAAATTTATAAAATTTAAGTAACTAAACTTTATAGGATTTCAGAACATGGGGTATTTAAAAATTCTTGGACTAAAAAATAGATGAACACTGGGCAGTCCGAATTTTCTTGGTTCCAATGGAAATCTATTTAGATAGTGTTGAGGAAGGGAGGATTCATTATTTATCGTCGTAAGAAATGCAAATAGGTGATGTGTTGTCACATATTCGAATTGGTGATATTACTCATTCAAATTGAATAGGTAATACATGTATCACCTATTCAGCACGAATACTAGTAGGTGATATCACCTATTCGAATAAGTCAAATCATCTATTTGAATATATCTGACACAAAATGGCAATCAATACCAAAATGGTACCTCAATGTGATCAATAAAGCTCAGTTGAGCCTTTAGCGTAGGGAATCTAATAATGACTGTTCAAGTGATTTTTATTTTAACATCTTTATTCACAAAATAAATGAAAGCTGTATCAATAGGCGAAGTTGATTCACCTATAAATTTAAAAGAATAAACCTTTGTTTATACAAAATAGGTCTTTGTACATTATATAAAGAACTCATGTCCTTTTTTACTAACTTCATTATTTTTGTCCCTAGCTGCTTTATAATAGAAGTCGGGAGGGTATCCATTTTTTGTTTCTTTTGATTATTTTATGCTGGGTATGCAGCAACATCAGTATCATTAGAAGAACATTAAAAAACCCACAATACTGTAAATCACTCATTTTTCGCGGCACCTAATTTTCGCAAGATGGACATTTGTTCTTTATTAGAGAAACAAAATTTTCTCGAATCGTGCTTAATGCTCTATGTACATGTACATATGTAATCTTTAGCAATACTAATATGGACGAGAATGATTTTTTCGCGAGCACATTGTCTCGCATAATAACACCAAAATAAAGTTATCGCGAATAAAAAGTTATTTACAGTATTGTCAATGCGTAAACGTTAATGATTCGCAGATGATGACACTAGTCAACAGGGGTTGTTTGCTCGTCCAAATCACATGGTCTCATCTTTGGAATTTTCAGGGGGTCCATGTTTTCTGCCCTGTTCACAGATTCGTATTGTTTTGAAATAAAGTTAAAAGTGGCTATGTGTTGTAAATAGCGAGGCCACGCTCCAACTAGCACAAGCTAGTGGGACAACCCTTTAGCGCAGTCGGTAGAGCGTTGGATTTTAAATCTGAGGGTTGTAGCTTCGAGCCATAGTGTGGACACCCCCTAGCTAATCAGTCATATTGGCGCCCAACGTGGGGCGTCAAATGTTACGAGCGGGGAAAAATGTCGGCAGGACTGGGACTCGAACTCGGGACCTCCCGCCAACCATGCGGGTGCTCTAACCACTGAGCTACCGGGCCGACCCACCCAATCCCCGTTACAGTTTATAGGCTTTATCATTGTTCGTTGCCTTTGTCATCAAGTTTAAGGTCAAGGTCATCACAAAGCAACGATTAAATATGTACGTGTAATATATAGAAATTGAAGGCATCGTATAACATGCCTTAAAATGCATGGTGGATAAAAAATAAAAAAAAAATGTCTCTCTTGATTATCAGTTGCGATGCACAGTCAAAACATCGGCAGACGTTGCATTACTTGATGGTCCGATGCATACGCCTCAGCGTTGTGATATTCTGCGCATTGGAATACAGTCCAAGTCATTCACGTTCTTTTCACATAAAAGCGTCTTTTGGATGGCGATTCTGAATCTCTTGTTAATAATGGCGTACACTACCGGATTGTAGCATGTGGAGGATTTTGCGAAAACAGCTGGAATGACATGGAATAAGGCAGGAAGTGTACCCACTTCTTTTATCGATATAACGAGAAAGTAAACAGTAAATGGAGTCCATGCAACGAGGAAAAGTATTACCGCAACAACACACATCTGAAAATAAAGTGAAAACATTAGATGCTGTCATAAAACATTAAATTCAGTTATACCCAAACATTTTTTTTTATTTGTAATGTATTTAAACGTAATTTTTTATGTATTCATTTAAGAAATATTCTATGAATATGACTACTCGTACTTTCAAAAGAATTCCATTTTTTCTCCCACAAATTTGCTCAAATGGGATAAATCCAGATTTTGACAATAAGTCATGTTCTCCTATACATTGTTATTAAACATGGTACTGTAAAATCATATAATTTCGTATTGTCAGTTTTTCGAGAATTAGGAAAAAAGTATTGATTTGTGAGGATATCGTGGTCGGAAAATGTATGGCACGCCAAATTCACAAAATTGAACGAAACATAGTTTCACAGTCGATAAACTAGGTTTATCGGTTGTAAACAATAGTTTACGGACTGTAAACTATAGTTAAGGACGTTAATCTATACATATGGCACGCCAAATTCACAAAAATTAGCTAAACCTAGTTTCACAATTGATAAACTAAGTTTATCGACTGTAAACAAATTAACCGTAAATTAACCAACAGATTTAACTTAGTTTTTTTAAAACTATATTTAACGGTTGTTAACTATCATTTGGCAAATCCGTCTGTAATAAAACGTTAACAACAGATTTTGTTGATAAAATTTGATAATTTTTGTATATCTATATATTTAGCTCGTTAACTATAGTTAAGAGTTGTAAACCACAGTTTACAAATCGTGAAACTGTATTTATAAGATGGCGTGCTAAACCTAGTTTCACAATTGATAAACTAGGTTTATCAACTGTAAACTATAGTTTACAAACCGTGAACCATAGTTTACAATTCGTTAATTATAGTTTTCACAAAACTAATTTGTAAACTATGGTTTACAACTGCTAACCTTAGTTTATCTGTCTGTAATAAAACGTTAACAATAGATTTTGTTGATAAACATAGATTAACAATTCTGTAAACTATAATTTACGATCGTTAACTATAGTTTAAGAGTTGTAATCTATGTTTATCAACAAAATCTATTGTTAACGTTTTATTACAGACAGATAAACTTTATTTATCATTCGTAAACTATAGTTAACAACAGTTAAATATAGTTTTACAGATGAAAACTATAGTTAACGAATTGTTAACTAAAGTTCACGGTATATAAACTATAGTTTACAGTCGAAAAACCTAGTTTATCAACTGTGAAACTATGTTAAGCTCATTTTCGTGAATTTGGCGTGCCATAAAAATGTTTAGTAAAAATGCACATGAAGTTTTACATTTCGTGGTGGTCATTAATTCGTTTCAGAAAGTAAAGTAAAATTAAACACTGAAAACAAATATGCAAAACATGATTTCACAGTTTCACGATTTGTATCACATGGATTTAGATAACTGAGATATCATTATCACAATCTATTGGAAACATACCATATTTATCAATGTATAGAAGAAAATATCTCATTGTAAATATCCATGTCATTTATCCGTTAATTCAAGTTTCTTTAAAGTCTTAAAAACGGTTTTATAAAAGATTAACATTTATCAACTGTGAATATATGTTGGAGAAATCGAATTTCCTGTAACCATAAAAATGTTTAGTAAAAAACATGAAGTTTTCATTTAAATAAATCATTAATTCGTGCATGAAATTGTCATGAAAATAAAAAAATTGAAAATTTCACAAATTTTCACATGGATTTAGATAATTGAGATATCATTATCACAATTATTAGCATTACCATATTTAAATTAGAAGAAAATATCTCATTGTAAATATCCAGGGATTTATCCGTTTATTCAAGTTTCTTTAAAGTCTTAAAAACGGTTTTATAGAAGATTGACATTTGTAACCCATAAATATATTTTGGAGAAATCGAATTTCTTGTAACCTAGTATTCTCTATAAAAAATAGAAATTTTCAATTTAAACGAATTAATTTGTGCCTGAAATTGTCATACATAAATCTAAATTCAAAATTCAAAATTTTTGTATAGGACACTAACCTTAGATACCAATGCTTATTAGATTTGCATTGAATTACATCCTATACTTTGGTAATAGACTGCCTCATTTGAGACTCAGCAGTTAAGCCGAAGTAAATTTGTACATTTCTGTGCTGTTCATTTTCTAATGCTTCCTCCCTTTTATCCCAACAATCCCTTATTTCTATATGTGACGTGAAACTGTCACATCTTATTGAGACCGGCAACCTAATATCCACTCCTCTAATTAAGTCAAAAACTACAAAAATCCCAGCTGAGGTATATTTAGCAAAAACTATTAATTGGTTTAATCCTGCCTTTGTAATCTGTTTTTGATGTGTCCATTCGATGTTTTCCTGGGAACCACCGCCGCCAACGGCTTTGATGAATTGATATGTTTTCCGGTAGCTCACCATGATGACACAACACGGGAAGATGAAGCAGACGACAGCCACTGCGTAAACGAAGGAAACAAACGCTGCTCTTCCATGACACGTCCAGGATATCGTACAAAGCACACCGGTGTCGTCAAGATCATAACTAAAAAGAGAAAGTAAAATGAGAGATGAAAGCAATTAACATAAACCCTAAAAAATACTGGACCCAGGATCATGAAGCATTTTAAGCTGAAGTCCAAAAATTGCATACATGTATGCATCGTTGGAAACCCACGGGTGATTTCGTCTTTACTTATCAATGATGATAAGTAAAGACGAAATCACCTGTAGGTTTCCGACGATGACATGTATGGTGCTTATTACTTAGAAGGCAGTCCAAAAATAAAAATGCTTTCCAATTCTGTATCACTGTTTTCTGTCGTATGCAATCTAGAGTTTCATTCAGCAAGTTTTAAACATTTTATAGATAATTGAAATTCTGACTTTAAAATGCTAAGTTTGTTACATGATCTTTGGGCTTGATTTGTTACGCCTGGAAGCGAATAGCAGAAATTATGGACCTATCTAGCAAATTTACAAAAAAATCAGCTGTACAGCGTGTTCATTTAAGGAATCACTGTCTAGTTAGTGTAGTATGCCAGGGCATCAACGATAGTGGGAAACATGGCATAATTTGCGTAACGGCCATTGGGCGAAGCCCGTTATGCAAAAATTATCCCATGTTTCCCACTATCGTTGATGTCCCTGGCATATTCTCAAAACTAGACAGTGATTTTTTATATTTCCATTTCCATTGTGAAATAAAATTGTAGACTTAGACTTTAAAAAATGTAGATTAATAGATTTAAATCACATGAGGACTTCCATGCCAATTTCAATACTAGTAGTCCTCGCCAACTGACGTCAAACACAAAGGCAGCCGCACGAGATTTACATGCATATTTGGCCTCCTTAGCGTCAGACACAAAGACAGATGCGCACGAGAATTGCATGCTTATTAGGCCTCCTTAGCTCCCGACCTGTCGACCTGCCTTATTTACATTCCGGCAGAATTATCAAGAAATAAACTATCCCTAACTTTTAAAGAGTTATCACAGAGAAAAAAAAATTAGAATTGGAAATATTGTGAAATCAATCTCAGATGGCACTTATAGCACCAAGAGTAGTTGACAAAAAACATTATTTGTCTACAGGATGACAAAAATATTGTATGCAGAATTTATGTACTATTTTTTTGCACGGCGTGTATTCTTCTTGCTAATTATGTTTCTACAAAATTAATAGTATTGCTAGAATAGTTCTACATTTTATACAAGAGGTCAACTTATTTCTTTCTGATGGGGCATTATTTAGAATTAATACTTAGTATATTGATAACGTCATTTCAAATTTCAAAGTACAATTAATGTATTTGTACTCTGTAGATTCTATAAATGCTGATAAATATAGCAATATTGTGAGAAAACATCAGTTTGAGTGCAAGCACCAATAATAATTGAAATAAGCAATTATTATTTTTTTTCTGCACGATGACAAAACCATTATTTGTCTGCAGGATTTAAAATTAGTCCTGCTGAGCGTGTATCCTTCCTGTTCGTCTTGTTTGTTTCTGCTACATAATTGCTGGACTAATTCATCCTTTCTTTCCTTACTAGGTACAAATGAATTTTACCTACCGTCGATTGCTAAAGGACACAGAAAAATCAAAGGAAGCTTATTTGCGATTACAAAATCAGTAATATCGCGGGAAACTGTCTTTTAAGGCATTTACAATAACCCATCTGCCCCCCCCCCTTCTCTGGTGCCAAGAGGTACCAAAACCAAGTCGCTTACTATACAATACGGACAATTGTGGCCCTACCTTATCTAAAGGGGATATGATTTGAACAACCTTGAATCTACACAACCTGAGGATGCTTCTTTACACTATTGTTGTCACTTTGTTGTTTTTAAGAAGAAGATGTTTAAAAGTTCTTTCCTTCTTCTTCCTATTTAAACTTTCAACTTTTGACCCCACAATTATAGTTTCACTCTACACTTTGATTTGAAAAATAATTCTACGCTACTTGAGGTTGCTTTTGTATTGGTATGTCAACAATATGTCTTATCAAGGGTTTTGTTGTCATATTTACAGAAGATATATATACCAAAGAGTGAATGAATAAAAGAGTATAATGGTGGATGAGAACACTTTCAAAGGAACACATAGTTGATGATCAAAAGTAGAAATGAGTGTTTCAGGGAAAAACATAATGTAATAAGAGATTGCTATTTACATAAAACTTAATCATCAATATATGACCTAGTAATAATGATTTTTATTACAAAGTCTTTTTTCTTTCCAAAATTACGAACCTACATACAAATAAAATGTTCAAAATTTAATTTACGAAGGTATTGATTTGAAATTTGATTGAACTGACTGAAATGTGCAAGCTAATTATAAGTATGACGCGGTTTGCAATTATTTCATGTAGTTTTACTATCATAATAAATTCAAATCAAGTAAACAAATTTTGCACGAAATTTCCCCATTTAGAAAGCATGATTCTGTTATCAATACTTTGTTGTATTTGAATATTTTTCCTAAGGGAAAAGGCAGGTAGCCAGAGATGATAACTTAATAGATTAACAAACTTTTTTCACCTTTCTAGAATTTTATTTTCCCTCAAAGTAAAGAAAAAACATTATGTAATAAGAGTTCTTAAATAAGATCTCCATTTAAAATGTTTTTTTATACAAATATAAGATTTACATATAGTAAAACATAGTTATTGTAAAACAATAAAATTGTAGGAGATAGATAAATATTTTTAGTGAAAATGTGCAAATTAAAGAGCAAACCTTTTTTCCAGATATAAGTGTTTTATCGAAAAATTTATATTGAGAGTCCGGTTGCAGTATTGTCAAATAAGGGTAATGTAAGGGTAATACAGAAACTGAATTAAAAAAATGTTTTTTAAAAATATTTTGACCCCCACCCCCACGAAATAGGAATTTCGAGTTGTTGGTCCCCACCTTCAAAAACGATGCTACGTCACTGTACTCCTCCCTATATGCCCCCTCCCTTCCTTCTTAAATTTTTCAACAGTGGCTTGATAAGTTGTCAGGTTCTACTGTATAAAAATAACAAGTTCGAGAATAGCTAGGCATAAACATAGACACTTGGATCACCAGCAAAGAAGCAGCCTTCAGGAAGATTTACCTAGCTTGGACAAAAGCATTGTCGAGACTGAAGACAGTCTTGCTATATAATTAATATATTTATAGATAGATTATATACGTTGTGCTCAATCAAGACAAAATCTGATCGAAATCAGGTCCTAATTAGAGATTTCTACGTGAGTGGATAGAAGGATGTGAATACTATAGTACTCTTTTGCACAAGTTTTTCTATTTAAGGAATTTTAGATCTGTTATTATTTGAATATTTATTCTTGGAGAAAATGAGAGGTACCCAGAGATGAAAAAAGAAATAAATCAACTCATTTGTTTCAACGTGTCATTTTTTATTATTTTCCCTCAAAGTCTAAAAGAGATAGGATGTTTAGGTGATTTTTAAATAAGATCTCATTAATTTATTCTTAAAAAATAGAATTTTTTCATATTTATAAATTCAATTAAAAACATGGATATGGAGAGACATTTTAAATTCTATCAATTGTGCAAAACAAAAGTATCACACCAGAAGAGCATGCAAATTAAAGAGCCAACAATGCGTCATGTCCATTGTGGATCTGAGGTAAAATACTGAGTGGCAAATATTGACAAAAGCACTGATGCATCATTGTCGGAAACCTTACGATGCTTGATGCTACATACGTACGTTTAATTGATATATCTTTGCACAAGGTTGATCATCATACAAAAATACATTTTCACAGCAACGCCATATATATATTCTAGTATGAGAAAAAAGATTAAAATCATAGATGGCTTAGGAAACAAAAAGTTATATAGTTATTGCGTTCTCTTTCTCTTAATCTCTCTCTACATTTATTATTTGTTTATATAAATGCACGTATAGCAAAAAAAAAAAAAATGGGAAAACCTCAGTTTGCTTGCAAGCATCAAGGGTATAGTTGACAAAAACCATAATTTGTCTGCAGGATGACAAAATCATTAACCATTGGAGGATTTCGATTTAGATTTGCTGAGCGTGTATCCGTCTTATTAATCATATTCCTACAGTTTTATTACAGGACTAGAATACCACTTTTAAAAAATCATAACAACGTACACATCAATCCTGTCTGCCGTGGGTTGCTAAAGAACAAAAGTTATTCATTGCTTCAAAGTAAAAAAAATGAGTTTCATTGGCGGTAACAATATCAGTAATATATAGACCGGGGAACTGTCCTAAAGGCATTTACCTCATGCACGTAGCATTAGGGGCCTGCCTTCTTTTCCAGACATAATGTTTATTGAGATTCAGGTTGGAGTATTGTCAAATAAGAGTAATATAAGGGCAATACAGTAACTGAATTTAAAAAAAATGGTACTAAAATAATTTGAAACCTCTCCCATCCCCACAAAAAAGGATTTTTGATCATGAATTGTTGGTCTCCACTTTCAAAAATGATTCTACGTCACTGTACTCCCAATATGCTCCTACCTTACTTCTTAATTTTTTCAACGGCGGCTTGATAAGTTCTCAGGTTCTAATGTATAAAAATAACAAGTTCGAGTATAGCTAGACATAAACATAGACCTTTGGATCACCTGCAAAGAAACAACCTTCATGAAGATTTACCTAAAAACAAGCTTGGACAAAAGCATTGTCGAGACTGAAGACAGACTTGTAATATAAATAATATATTTATAGATAGATTATATACTGTAAGTGCACAATCAAGACAAAATCTGATCCTAATTAGGTTCTTATTAGAGATTTCTACGTGAGTGGATAAAAGAATGTGAATACTTTTTTTTTTTTGCTGAGACAGAGATGAAAAAAGAAGTAATTAAACTCATTAGTTTCAACTTTTCATTTATTATTATTTTCCTTCAACGTGAAAAAAATTGATGTAAAGAGGAATTTTAAAATAAATCTGAGAGGTCCCCAGAGATGAAAAAAGAAGTAATTAAACTCATTAGCATATATTGGGGGCACAGGGGGCGAAGCCCCCAACTGTTTTCGTGTATTTTAGAGTAAAACCAGGCACAATGATTTATTATTATTTTAATAAAGTATATCATACGTGAAAAAAATTGATGTTAAGATGGTTTTTAAATAAGATCTCTTATTAATTTTTTTTTTTAAGAAAAAAAAAATCATATTTATAAATCCAATTGAAAAATTGGATATGGAGACACATTTTATATTCTATCAATTGTGCATTGCCATATGCAAAAAACATAGCACACCAGAAGAGCATGCAAATTAAAGAGCCAACAATCCGTCATGTCCATTGTGGGTCTGAGGTAAAATACTGAGTGGCAAATATTGACAAAAGCACTGATGCACCATCGTCGAAAACCTTACGATGTAGGTCTAATTGATATATCTTTGTACAGGGTTGATCATCATACAAAAATACATTTTCACAGCAACGCCATATATATTCTAGTATGAAAAAAGATTAAAATCATTGATGGCTCACGAAACAGAACGGTTAAATCCTTATTGTGTGCTCTTTCCCTCCATATCTCATTTTATGATTTGTTTATAAAATGCAAGTATAGCAACAAATACGAGAAAACCTTAGTTTTCTTGCAAGCACCAAGAGTAAAGTTGACAAAAACCATAATTTGTCTGCAGGATGACAAAACCATTATTTGTCTGCAGGATTTAACTTTTGGCTTGCTGAGCGTGTATCCGTCTTATTAATCATGTTTCTACAGTATTATTGCTAGATTATAATGCCTACTAAACTAACTAGGTACAAACCAATCGTGTCTGCCGTGGCTTGTTAAAATAAGAAAAAAATATTAATGGCTACAAAGCAGAAAAAAAGAGTTAATTGCGTTTGCAGTGACAAAATCAGTAATCGTCCTAAAGGCAATCACCCTATCCAACCTATCCCCCTAAGTTCCCTGCTGCAAAGGGAAATTTAGACCAAGTCGACTACTGCATTCATACGGGCAGATCTTTTCAGTTGTGGGTGTTGTTTAGTTGTGGAAATGTGGGGGTAAGTTAGGAACACGCGGTTAGTAATACTTTGATTGATTATTTGTATGTTGTTTAACGTCTCTCGAAAGAATTTTTCACTCATATGGAGACGCCACTATTTGCCGGTGGAGAGCTGCATTTGTCCTATACTGCACTTAGAGCCATTGATCAGGGAGGGATCTTTTTCGTGCCAGTACTTACTGCGACAACGGTTCTCAATTTATACGGTCTCATCCGACGGACAGGTCTCCATGTCCCAAAGTGGGATTTGAACCCGCGGCGTAAGGATCAAATCATTTCTTCGCGACTCTCAAACCATCGGCCACGCGGGCGACAGTAATATTTTGAGAGGACAGTCAAATGTTTGCCGAAAAAAAGAAACGTACGTAAATAAGATTTGTAGTTGCCAGGCTTGCAAGATTTAAGTATACCGTTGTTTGAAGACCATCTATAAACCTAATTAGTTCGGTTTTTGTTGGTTTTAAAAATAACCAAAATAGAATATAAAGAAAACTAAAAATAACGTATGCAGTGAAAAAAATAATGGTCATAGTTCATATTTCCCCATGGTCCGTTTCATTAACCAATAAACATACCCTAAGTGCCTATGACCGATTTCAATATTGTTTTTATTATTTTAAATTTTAGATTTCTAAAAAAAAAATCACCTGTCTTATTTTTTTCAAACACCAGGTTCTTCATGTGCTTGATATACTCGAAAAAAGCTATTTTTAGCATATAGGTCACAGTCAAGGTCACAAGGTCATTAACCTTGGTGTCATTTCAAAGATTTTGATTAGAAGAATATGCATACTAAATATGAAGTCTCTACTTTTATCAAAAACACAGAAAAAACACTTGGCCACAGTCAACAGCAATGAGGCAAAATTCATGTAGATTTACCTAAGAAAAACAAGCCTTGACAAAAGCATTATTCTAGTCGAGACTGAAGACAGTCTTGTAATATATTTTTGATAGACAAATTACTTTTTTAAACCTTTGTATCTTCGTTCATGTCCCCCCTTTCAACCTAAATTTGACACAAGCAGAATCAAATCAAAATCAGATTATTTATAGTAGTATAGAGTTTTCTAGAGTGGATCAAAGGATGTAATTTTATTAAGATTAAGAAAGAACCATCAGATAAGAATAATGACCTCCATGCTTATTGATACGCATACTTTAATCACTAAAATAGCTGTACTGTATTTTATATCAGGCTTTATCCTGAGGCAATTTGAAAGTTTAAAACACCTAATATAGTATTGCCAGACTCGTATGAAGCAATGTAGTGGGGAACACCAGTCAACTCCCAAAAATTCGTTGGAACAAAAGACACCCCCGTTCCCAGGTTCCTTATTCCATGCATAACCAGGGAAGGTAGCTTAAGCGCCAATAGTAGTATCACTGGCATGGTAAATCTAGCAATGAATCTGGGTTCATACTAGTATGTATGTAGATCAATTCAAAAACAAGCTCCCAGAGGGAGATTTTCTACAAAGAACCAATTCTAAGAGTATCCCGGCTGACAGATCTCATATCAAGTTGGAGAAGACAAGATATTTTAATCTTATTTGAAATTGGCAATAGGATAGAATACGAAAATAGAAAATACTTATTAAAAGTCAATATGATCTCATTTCTCATTTTGTTTGCATACTTTGAAGAAGATTAGTTTGTATATATATTTCACAGACAGTCAAATAAAATTAGTTATTCCTATTAATCAAGTTCCCACTTTTGGAGTTTCAAATTTCAAATTTCATCTATGATACTGTGTAAAAGACTATTATCGCCCCGTGTTATTTTATTAGCCTTTTCACACTGAAAAACTAATTTTCCCCGTTTTAAATTTGCCTAGTCATTGTTTTGTTTGAAAAAAATATTCCGTGTTCTTTGAATTCGCCCAGTTTTATATTCATTCAAATATGGGTAGGACAAATGGGGCGAAAATAAAACAGGAGCGAAACTTGAAACTCATAGTCACAGAGGTACGAAAATGGTCTCTTCAAAAAGAAATTGAAATTAAGAATTTTCACGAAAGTCAAAATCCTCAGACTGCAATTTTTCAAATGAAAGTAGCCAATGAATGTATGTCTGTGCCCCCTTTATCCGTTTTATGGAATAAACCACGATTTTTTACTATTGGTTTTCAGCGCCAAATTTATCAGAAGTCTTTAAAAAGTACATCAACCCCTAAGTCGAGATAAAAAAAAAGTTGGTACCCATAGAAAGGCCATATCAACGGGAAATTCATCTAAAATACATGCATGATGCTTTGGCAGCAACTATTCAGAAAGTTAAAAACAAAAATGCTGGTACCCAAAGAAAAGTCTTGTCAAAAGGAATACAAACGAATGTCAAAGCCCTTATAACGACTATATAAAATTTATGATCAATGTTTTAGTTTGGCTGAGGTTTTTCAATTGTAGATTAACTTCAGGGTCATGAGGTAATTTTTTTTATTACATAAATTAAGGTCACTGAAAGGAGTATACGTATGAGAAATGTGGGGGCCTTAGAACAAACCGTTCAAAAGTAATAGTCATGGTTAAAGATACTCGGTATTTCTGGATAGACAAACTGACAGAAAAACGGAAAAAAATAAAAACCTTATGCCATCAAATCTCCATCATTAACATGAATATTTGTTATTAATATGCCTAAACTTAAAGGTTTCTTTTCGAATGTACAATGAAGCAGATTGAAGTGATAAAATTTGCCGATTGAATAGAACGTTTATGTGGCCTTTTTTAGAACTATGATTCTTATATAATGATACGCTTATTTCTCTAGAAAAGAAAAAAAAACACGTTCTAATAGTTCCTTCGAATACATGCAAAACAAGTATTCCATAAATATAATAGCCAATCAACACCTTATAAACGTGTGTTCGACCGATACATGTGTTATGGTAACTTTAGTGTATAAATACAATGAAACACATTGAAGTTGTAAGTAATATTCTTAGTTTGAATGGAAAGTTTGGGTGGATCTTATTCATGTTATTGAACGTCAGTTGTTACATAATGACACGCCCATTTCTTTAGATACAAGGGAAAAAAATAACGTCGCAAGGACACCCTTTTTTGCTTTTTTTCTCAAAATGAGAAATACTACAATGGAAATTTTATAAAGTTAAAAGAGCCAGTGAGAGACTCCCCAATTCTATAAAACACATATTGCACGAATATGTACATATTTATTATTTTGTGATTTTGTGTTGTTTAATGGGGTTACGATACCGGTCGAACACGCATTTTTTATTTACTCGGTGTTTAAGAATTAGGCGTGTCATTATATGACAACCAACAACCTAAAATTAGCGCAAAAAATTCAAGCGGAAAAATTTTACCACTTCAATGTGCCTCCTTGTAGGTACATATTCGTGTTTTACAAAAGCGGGGTTCCTAGCTCTCTTCTGATTTATAAAATCTCTATTTCAGTAAAAATTAATATTGCTAGTCGCAGAGAGTGGGGTTCTCCAAAGCATTATGACGAATATTTTTCTCTCGTTTCCGAAGAAATGGGTGTGCCAGTGTGGCAAATGACGTTCAGTAAGAAACACCTAAATATTCCACTCAAGCGAAAAAATTTTACCACTTCAATGCGCTTCATTGTACATGTAAATACATACCATCCCCATCCCATGAATGGAGCTGCAGCCCAAATCATGGAATTTGTCCATAATAATATGCTGACAATGAAGTAATGCCGCTTGCTAAATCTGCAATCTAAAAAAGACAGGAATGAAATAATATTTGGTATACTAAACAATTTACATATACAGTATATATGTATACACTTCAATATAAAACAAGTTGCCGTCCTTTAAAAAAAAAAAGACTACAATACGTGGACCATATGCATGTGTTTCTAACCGAAATTCAATTAGAAAATTTCTAGGTTCAGTGAATATTCATGTACATGTAGGTTCGTTCATATTTTCTACAATGACCTGCCTACTTTGACCGATAGTACTTTCATTGCAAAATTGTTCAATTTTATCTCTGATTAGCCCATACATGTAGTTTTGTCATTTTAAAAAATCGGGCTATTTTGATACATGTTACACATAACGGCTGAGACTTGACATCTGTTCTAGATTTATGAATACGAAAGAAATCTATCATTGGAAAAATAAATCTGACGGTACCCGTATTGCACAGCTCTATAGTATGCAGATATTTTTCGGAACCCTCCCCCTTTTTCCTCCTCCACTTGGATTGCTTCAGGCCTGTGTCAAGCTGTATTTGGATTGCTGTATATCAAATTATTTTGCGAGCCTTGATGCACAAAATTAATACCGGTGAGGACTTGTTCTGTCTTTTTAAACCTAGAACTATTCGTTGAATGAATTTTAAATTCAAGTTGTTAAGTTATCTATATTCTGCAAGTTCTTCCAACTTTTAAAAATGCTTGTGCCAAAGAATCGATGTTTAGTTTGCATATAAAAGTATATGTATAAGAGAGAAATTCGGATGTCCAAATATATAAATACGATATGCAGATTTAAAAGCGAGATTTGCCAATGAATGGCATGTTGTAATTCGAACAGGGCGAATCATTATTCTACGAGCAAGTTGTCTTATAGGGGCGAGCTCTCTAGCATTCTCGCGCATGCATAGCATGAAGTATGCCCATGGCATCCGGTTTAACCTCGCTTATATATTTTCTGCGTGGACCCCAGGGTCCACGCAACTATGAATTATAAAAGAAAATAAACAACAACAAAAAATAATCGGTGCCATTTTTGGATGCAAGTTATAAAAAAACAGTTTCAATTTTAATAGTGATTAAAACAAAAAAAGTAACAAAAAGAACAATAAAAATTTATTTAAAGGGACATGGACACAGACACAGAAATATGCTATAGCAACATATAAGTCATGAAGTCATGATATTATACAGAACATCTGAGAAAATATCAACCTCAAATCTGTGTCTATGTCCTTTGAATATCAGGAATATAGCTTACATAGTTCGTGTTTACAGGTGACAATGTAACGGTCGCTGCTTATTGCGGCCAGAAACGCTATGCTGCCAAATCCAAACAGCATACTGTTAAAACCATACCAGCGACAAATGTCAGCACCGAAAGGCCATCTGCAAAAGAAGAACATTGTATCCGTGAATGTACGAAAGGCCATCTGAAAAAGTACATTGTATACGTGAATGTACGAAAGACCATCTGAAAAAGTACATTGTATCCATGTATGTACAAAATGCCATCTGAAAAAGAAGTACATCGTATACGTAAATGTACGAAAGACCATCTGAAAAAGGAGTACATTGTATACGTGAATGTACGAAAGGCCATCTGAAAAAGAAGTACTTTATATACATGAATGTACGAAAGGACATCCGAAAAAGTACATTTTATCCATGTATGTACGAAAGGCCATCTGAAAAAGAAGTACATCGTATACGTGAATGTACGAAAGACCATCTGAAAAAGAACATTGTATACGTGAATGTACGAAAGGCCATCTGAAAAAGAAGTACTTTATATACATGAATGTACGAAAGGCCATCTGAAAAAGTACATTTTATCCATGTATGTACGAAAGGCCATCCGAAAAAGAAGTACATCGTATACTTGAATGTACGAAAGACCATCTGAAAAAGGAGAACATTGTATACGTGAATGTACGAAAGGCCATCTGAAAAAGAAGTACTTTATATACACTTGAATTACGAAAGGCCATCTGAAAAAAATTTTACGAAAGGCCTTCCGAAAAAGAAGTACATCGTATACTTGAATGTACGAAAGACCATCTGAAAAAGGAGAACATTGTATACGTGAATGTACGAAAGGCCATCTGAAAAAGAAGTACTTTATATACATGAATGTACGAAAGGTCATCTGAAAAAGAAGTATTTTGTATACGTGAATGCACTTGGAATGCTACAATCGTACTAACTTCTGATTTACTTGTATAATTTATTTTTCTCATTTTATTCCATGTAACAATGGACCAAAAGTAAGAGTCGCACTTTTTCACAAAAAAAAACTTTTTTAAATCAAAAGATTCTACTTAATAAACTGAAGTAAAGTACAATGACTATATTTCCGCTTTACCCCCAGTGTGTTTATAATATTATAATTTTATTGCAAAATTTTGACTTTAGAATCTCTTACGACAAATAGACGGAGACCAGGTCTTCCAAACAGTGGGATTCCATTGGCACAAATTCTTCTCCTTTGTTATCTGATCCTTTTTTTTAATAATCCTATGATCAGAGATTATTTTAATTAAAACATGAGCAGTTTAAACACATGCCAAGGTCTTCAAATCGGCATTTAGATACCGGTATATCGGCACTGTTTTATCATTTAACAATAGTTAATTTCATTTATACGTGGACTCGATAAAACCCAGTGAACTTGAAATTAAAGACATCACAGTTCTTCTACATCGGTTTCATATTTGTGCGTTTTTCAAAATACAGACAATAAAGGCAATTCAATAACGAGTAAACTGTATGACAAACGAAACGAGATGATTTTAACTTTTCCATCATCAACTTTCATTATTCATAAAGAAACACCCTGCTTTCACCTGCACATCACCTGCAACTTCACCTGTATCTCCCAACTTCATTGATAATCGAAACCATGCACGATTGATTTTTAAGCCTATGCCGGTTACTAACCGAAAAGTTGATGTTACGGGAATTTCAACCACCTCGTTTAATGTAAGTATTTCGCAGTTTCTGTCGTCGGAATAATGAACCTGTTGGCAAATATGATTTACTTAATCAATGGGTCGTATTTGGGCTAACTTGTTTCATACGATTTGTTCGTCATTTGAACTGAAAACTGAATTTAACTATACACGTTCCGTCTGCCTGAACTATAAAAGGGCTCAAGGCGGGTGTGATCAGTCACCTGGGGATGCTTACTCCTTCTAGCCAACCGATCCCATCTCTGGAATTTCTAAGGTACGTGTTAGTATTCTTTTCATGGTTATGTATTGTTTAAAGATTGTTTGAGATCTATCACTTTTCATCATCTTAATTGTTTTCAGTACATTGATTTATCAATAAAATTACGAGAGAGTTCTGGCTTTCATATACGTGTTTAAAACGAATTTTGTTAAAACAGAAGAATCTGGCAATGTTTCGGAAAAAGGTATAAGCTTGCAATTTCTCTGACGATGTATCGTAAGATTTGTTGAAAGACACTTTGCACAAAGGTTACCAATGTTTAGAGGCAGAACAAATTATTTTAGACAGTAAAGATATATGTGCCGAGATCGGGCATAGACCTCTATTTGTGGGTTTGCTCTCTTTCTTGTCTGGAAGGTATTGTCGGTTCTTTCACAGTCTCTGTATATAATATGACATAGAATATTACAGAAGAAATAGATACCTTTGATATAATATATTCTCGTTAATGAACATAGGAGTTTGACCTCTTTGTAGTTAGCTTTGTGTAGTCTCTCTACAAAATTAATATAGTTTTCTCTCCTAGCACCAGCTGATACATTGAAAGGAACTCAAAAATGCTTTGCAAAAAACTTTTAGATATGAATGAGTTCAATCGTGTCGAAACATTAAAAAATCAGAATACAATAGTGAATAATGCATGGAAAAAAGTGGTGAAATATCTTTCTTTGAAATCTGCATGAAAAAGGTCAACTTAATATTGATGCAAACAATCAAATCAGCAGCAAAGTCTTTCAATGTGCAAACATCAAATTTTCAAAAGAAAACAATACACTGGTTCTATCAAATGTTATTTTTTAATTAGATTTATTTATTTCAAGGTTCTGTAATCAGTGCTTGGAAAATCGTCTCGAATTGCTTTTATATTTTACACACTCCAATGTCGGACTTCTTGAACGATTTTCTTTATAAAATTAATTAATATCCGAAGATTCTATGACATTTGTGCTAGGCTTTCTGTTCCTTCAATGCAATACGATTTAATATAGACTGTCAAAGGAAGAAATGACACGTCATCCACTGCGTCATTAAAAGCGGCAGCAGTTTTATATCAAATGTCACTTTGTATAAAACTCCAGCATCAGTAAATTCTTCCAGATTTCAAAAGGAGTTTTCATTCTTTTCCATACAGTAGATTTCTGCAATTTTGATCGATAACGCAATAATTATAATTAAAAGGACATTTGTGTCAACTTTGACCTTCAAGGATTGACATGCTTAAAATGTTAGTGCAGATGAATTTCCACATATTGATGCCAATTAAGAGATATATTAAGGCCCCGGGATCATGGAAAATCGCAAGCTTAAATCAAAATCTCTATTTGATAATAAAATGTTGTAGAAGTCAAGCAGACCAAAATTAAGACATTTTCAATATAGCTTCTCCAAAGTGTTGTTATCTGTAAATTTCAAAAAAAAATTCCTGAATTCATGAAATAATATTTTATAAGCGATTGAAAATGTGACTTAAGGACAAGTTTGTTTCATGATCCTGGGGCCTGATTACCTGTGATATGACATATTTCTAAGATTGAAGCCAGAAGGGTATTTTGATATTTCTTTTCATTCAATTACTTTGGGAAATGAGATGAAAGTTTAAGCAAATTCATGGCCGCATACCCTGTATATACATTTAAAATGCCCTCTGATTTTAAAAACCTTTATCAAATTAGTATATCAACTAATTTCCAACCACTTCCCTAAAAGAACATACACTATTCACAAATCTAAAGTGTAATTCTCTTGATCAGACAGCTTTTTGCTGGCTATAAGTAAGATTGGAGGTTAAACGCATTATTCTGCTTTATCTCTTTCCCCTTCCAATGCCTGAACCAATAATACTAAAGTCGTTCAAAACATCCCAGTCTCACCCACAAGGGACGGACAAATAAGACAGTATATCACCATTACACAACATAGTCCTCCTTGACATCAATGCTTCTGGTCCAAAAGCCAAAAGTGCTCAAGCATTGCAATTCCATTACTGAACAATTGGTATTACAACCCTAAAAATAGTCAAACGATGTTCAAGCATTGAAATCCAATTAAAGACAAAATTGATACTCGATTCCTCAAAAAACAAAAACAAAAAAGTAAACGCATCAACATTATAGCATGACACCATCTTGACCGCTAAACAGAATGGATAAAACAAAAACAAGTTAGATGGCCGTAAATCTGAAGAGTCATGGTCAGGGAATGGGTCATTTAAAGCCTCAGTTGGCTAGTTACGCTTACCTAAGCCTGTGTTGAGTAAACAGACACGTTATCTAGGTACAAGAGCACACCTGTCCTTAATTTTCCTTTTATTTGACTTGATTGCACCTTTTATACCTTGTTCGTCCATTAATACAAGTCCTTTTCAAGGCATATGATCTTTAAATCTACCAAGTTCTTCGAAAGTCAAGAGCATGCTCCGAGTATAACTGATTTTTAAACCGATACAGGCTACTGACAGAAAAGTTGATGTTACAGGGATTTCAACAACCTCGTTTAATGTCAGCATTTTCTATGGTCGGTATGATGAACCAGTTAGCAAAAATGATTTATCAATGGGTCGTATTTTGGCCGACTTGTTTCATACCAGTTGTTAGGCTTTTGTTTATATACTGAAATTAACCATACTAAATGTTCCGTCTACTTGTTTAATACATTGGACTCATAGCGGATGTGACGTCAGGGGATGCTTACCCCTCCTAGCCAACCGATCCCATCTCTGGAATTTCCAGGGTAAGTGTTTATATTCTCTTACCGGTTTTGTATTGTTTCAGATCTATCACTATTCAACATCTTCACCGTTTTCAGTATAATGATTTATCAATAAAATTACGAGAGAGTTAGTGCTTTCATATCTTTAAAACGAATTTTGTTCAAACGGAAGAATCTCGTAAAATTTTCGGAAAAAGTATAAGTTGGCAATTTTTCTTACGATATATCGTAAGATTTGTTGCACGACACACTTCTCAAAGGCTACCAATGTTCAGAATAGAACCAAGTTCCTTCGGACAGTTAAGGTATTCTTACCAAGATCGGATACATTCTATTTCAAAAACACTTTTCTTGTTCTCCCTATTGCCTGCAAGGTATTGTCGATGTTTTCACGGCCTCTATTTAATATGACATAGAATATTACAGAAGAAATAGCTAAGCACGTT